TAGTAAGCTGTGGCTAGATTATAAGAATCTGAGCAGTGACTAGATTTTAAAAATCTAAGCCTTGGCTTTTTTTTTTATGCCCCCATTATGCCCTTGATAACATTTGCCAATTATTCTTATAAAGATTTTATAGAGATGGGAAAGTAGGCATATAGGTCAGTTGTTTATATTTTTCCACTTGCTTTAAAAAAAATGAAGGCTGTGTTTTTTTGAAATGTTTGATAGTGCTCTTCTTATGTATTGTGAGAATTGATCCCTCAATGCCTCTCAAAATTATGTTGCTACCAGCATACATCTTCTTATTTTTCTTATATCTGGTCTTGCCCTGCTGCTCTTGCCCCTTTGTTTTTCTTTTGTGTCCTTTTTCAACTTTGTCTTGTGGCTTATAATAATGGCATTAATACAGGGTGTCCCAAAAGTCTTAGTGCAGTTTAAGCTATTAAAGCATAAAGACTTTTGCACTAAGACTTTTGGGATACCCTGTATAGCACTTTAAGGTTTGCAAAGCATTTAAAAACTCTTGTTTGATTCTCTCAACAACCCTCTGAAGTAAGTACTACAAGTATTATTATTACCATTTTACAGATTAGGAAACTGAAGGTCAGAGAGGTTAAGTGACTTGCCCAAGGTCACATAGTAAATGTCAGAGTTGGGTTCTGAGCCTTCTCTTTTTACTACTCAATGCTACCTCTCATATATGGGACTGTGATATTATGATCCAAATGTGGGGTTTCATTGTCAATCAATCAGTTCAGGCATCGTGCTTAGCACAGAGGATAGAGATCGTTCCTGCCCTCAAGTAGTTTTTATTTTATCTGGAGAGAGAACAAGTACATAAACAGTAAAATAGGGGAAGGGAGTAGCAGGTAAAGGAACCAGGAAAGGCCTCATGCTGAAGGTAGAGTTTGAGTTGTTTTTGAAGGTATCAGAGACCCAAGGAGATAGATGTGAGGAAAGGTAGCATTCCAGGCTTGTGGTACAGCCAGGGTTAAAGGTACAGATAAGGGAGGTGGAGGGTTTTGTTTGAGTAACAAGGCCAGTCTGGATGGACTATAAGAGGGGAGTAATGTGTAATAAAGCTGGATGGTATATTGGAGCAAAGCTGTGAAGAGTTTTAAATGTAAAACTTAGTTTAATATTTAATTCTAGATGTAATAAGTTATTTGGAAGAGTAGAGGTTAGCTGGAGTTCACTGGGGAAAAAAGTAGAGGTTGTGACATGGTCAGACATGTGCTTTAGGAAAATCACCTTGGTGGCTGCGTAGATTGGAGTAGGGGCAAGACTGGAGGCAGGGAGACCAATTATAAGTCGCTTGAACTAGAAGGCAAAGGTGATGAATGCCTGAATTAGGGTGGTAGCTGTGTGAGTGGAGAGAAGGGGACATATTTAGAGATGTTGTAGAGATAGATATGATAAGACTTGGGAACTGATTGAATATGTGGGGTGAAACTGAGGAATCAAGGATGAAAAGATTGTAAATCTAGGATTCTGGAAGGAAGGTGGTGCCCTTGACAGAAATAGGAAAGCTTTGGAAGAGTTTTTGAGGAAAGATAATGAATTCTATTTTGTACATGTTGAGTTCGAGATTCTTATGGGACATCCAGTTTGGAATGTCCAATAGGCAGGAAGTAATGCAAGACTGGAGCTCAGGTTAGACACTAGGGCTGGAAAAATAGATGTGGGTATCATCTTCATAGAGATTATCATTTGCTCATAGGAGCTAATGAAGTCACCAAGTGAAAGAGTACAGAGAGAAAAAAGAAAAGGGCTCAGGATAGAGCCTTGGGCTATACCCGCATTTAGAGGGTGTGATACAATGAACCCTTAAAGTAGACTGAGAAGGAGCAGTTAGATGTGCAGGAAGAGAACCAAGAGAGCAGGGTCCTAGAAACTGTCAGAGAAGAGGGTGTTTACCAGTATCAGGTGCTGCATAGAGATCAAGAAGATCAAGCAGCATGAGAATTGAGAAAAAGCCTTTGGGTTTGACAATTAGATTATATGTTAACCTTGAAAAGGGTAGTTTCAGTTGAGTTTCTATCTATCTATCTATCTATCTATCTATCTGTCTGTCTGTCTGTCTATCTATCTATCTATCTATCTATATCTATCTATCTGTCTAAAACTAGCTAGCAGGAATGGTTGGATCTAGGGAGGATTTTTTTTTTAAAGGGATGGGGAGACTTGAATGTGTTTGTAGGTAGGGAAGAAAACAGTAGCTATGGGGAGAGATTAAAGATTAGATAGTGAGGAGGGAAATGATAGTGGAAGGAATCTGATGGAGAAGACAGGAGGAAAGCATAGTTACTGTTTTAGTAATCTTGACTCACCCTTTCCATTTTTCATGTTGTTTTTCTTTCTAATTTCATACTTAAATGCTTTCAGGATGATCTGGCTTAAGTCCCTGTAAACATTTGTTTCCCTCCATAACTGCTCACTGTTTTATGTACCTTTTTAATTTGCTACTGTTTTCCTCTATATGATCTTATAAATGTTTATATTCTAAACTTGTGTTGTCTTGGGGGCCATAATACTTGGCAAAGAGATACATTATTTGCTAGTTGAGGCAGTTTCTAGGCTCTTTTGAGCTCCTCCTTGTGCCGATTAAGTTACATTGGTTAAATTTTCTTAAGAAATTGTCATGGTCTTTGTAATTTTTTAAATCCTTTTTTTTTTTTGCATCAACAACTTCTTGAAATAGGTCAAATTGAGGTAGCCTGCATGTTCATTTTTGTTCTTTATTCTAATTTTGATCTTTGCGTTAATAATTTGGTAACTGTACCCTGACAGCTAATTTGGAAATGACTCCCACATCAGTACCCCGTTGTTTCTTGTCTGTTCAAATATGATTTCTTTTTATTTTTTTTTGTGATGCTTTCAAGTCTCAGTGCCTCCCACCTCTCTTTTTGAAGATGATATATTCATTATCTATGAACATGACATTTTCATATGGTCTATGTCTAAGTGCTTCTTATTTCTTATTCTTATATCATGTTTTACAATTCTTTGCCATCTTTCCCTATGCCCACCTTTATGTTGAAGTTACTATTAAAATATTTATTGATTTAATTTGGAGGATCCTGATCTTAACAAGTGTTTTGTAGAATTTCTCCAGCTCTTCATCCCCTGAACAGATGTTGGTACCTGTTGCATTATCTTCATGGCTGTCTTATTTCAAATGGTTAGCTTGAGCACTGCCACACAAGATAAACAAACATCCTATGAAATGATGTTTCTACTTGTCTCTAGACAAGCTATTAAAAAAAACAATAAAAACTCTGCCAATTCCTTTATTTTCACCCCAGAGAAGAAACTGTGAGCCACCCTTCTATTTAGTGGCAGCTTCCTTTTGTCTTCTGACTTAGTTATCTTACATCGATGTTCACTGTCTAAAACAGTGATTTAATTTAGCACCCTCTTCCCCTTTTCTGCTACTCTGTGACTATCACTGCAGAAGTGCTAAGCTGGTCATATAGCACTGAGGGCCATTTTTTGTTTTTGTTTCATCTATTGCCCCATCTAAAAGCATTCATCACCAAATGGTCAACTGACTGGTGACAAGCCTTCCCATGTTTTAACTGGTCCTTAGAAAGCAGGTATAGTCCAGTCCTAGCTCTATACTTAAAATTTCTTCCATCATGGTAGAACCTGTCAAGACTTTGCTCTCTGTTGGCATAGTCTTAGAGAATCCAAGTATCATCTCCTTGCCAACATGGAAGCCTTTGTGGAGCTAGAGAACCTAAGACTGGAACTTGGGTGTCCTGAAACCCAGGCTGAAACCCTTTCTACTGTGGTGGCTAAGGTTCTTTATAGCTATAATTCTGTCTAATTGAATAAACATTAAGTACATATAGTGTATAAGGCACAACACGATACTTCTCTTCAATAAACTTACTTCTATGTCTAGCAAATGTGTCCAGGTTTTATTATTTTTTGTCACTTACCATGTAGCTATAAAATGCCCTAAGAACAGACTTTTATTGAGACCAATTTAGAAAATTGGTCTTCAAAGAGAGTTTATCCTTGGAAGTCTTCAGTAAAGAGAGGGTTTGGCATAGTCCTCTGATGGGCTTTGAGCAACTAGACTTGAATCCTTATAGACTCTGATGGGCAAAGATCCATGGGATGCCACTGACTTCTTTCCTGGACTGAGGGATGGCAAAGCAGGAAGTAGAACTCAGGTCTCTTGATTCTAATGCTAATGATCTCACTCATATGCCATTCTTTACTATCTGTGAATTGAGGCAAAAGCACCTCTGTGTGAGGAAGCTGGAGAGAAGGGTGTCTGGGAAGTTAGTGTGGCTCTGTGAAGGGTAAGGGGCCTGGGGTGATGGATTCCGAGAGCTGGGACTGAAGAAGACTCACTTTCTAGAGGGCTGGGGGGAGGGGTGAAAAGGCAGTGGGGCGGCAGCACAGCACACTGCGAACTGCAGGTGTTTGACCAGTGTTTGCTCACGCAATGAATCAAAGGAATGGAAGGGTGGGAATGAGGGAAGTAGCCTGGGAAGACCCGAGGGAAGAAGGCAAGGACTAAAAGCAGGGAAAAAATGGGAAGGGGAACTGGAAGGGGACCTAGACGGGAATAAGAACCAGGGTCAGGTGGAGTGTGAGGCTCGGCTCGGGGAGCGCAGTGTCCCTGGGGCCATGGAAACTGGGGCAGGGCGACCTCTGAGGCACCGACTGATTAACTGCGGCAGGGGAAAATGGGCAGCTTCGTTCTGAGGGGCTAGCTTTGGAGTGGAAGGGAGCTGCTTCCTCAGGAAGGGTTGGAGCTGGCTAGGGTGGAGAAGGACAGGACAGAGGTTATCGAGGCCGCTTTTCTCTGAAGCTTTTGGAAATGGGTGGAGAGCTGAGGGGAGGCGGGGGGGAGGGGAGCTGGAGGTGGGGGAGGGGGAGGGAAAAGAGGAGAGGGGTAGAGTAGGGAGAGGGCGGAGCCTGGAAGCGGGGGGGGGAAGGGGTGCTCGCTCGAAGGCCGTTGGTGGCGTGCGCTCCTGGTGGGCGGGGTTGCTCCCGGGGCCAGTGACAGCCAAGGCCGGCCCCGGACGAGCCCCTGGTGCAGCCTTCGGGCTGCGCTTCCCCACCCCTCGCCGTTCTCGCTGTTTGGACAGGTCAGGCCAGGCTCAACCACTGGTGAGGAGCCCGGATCCTGGGTGGGAGACCTTCTCCCCCTGACGGCGAGGGGGTAGCGGCCGTAGGGGAGGGGCCGACGTGGGCGGAAGTGGAGGGGAGAAATGGGCGGGGGCGGAAGCTGGGGTGGTGGGCGGAAGTTGGTGGGGGGGAGGGGGGCAGGAGAAATGGAGAGAGAGGCTGGGAGGAGCGGGGGTGGGCAGGCCCTCTGGGAGCATTTGTAAGAAGACCTGAGACAGATGGGCAGAAGTTTTGGGGGTGTAAGGAGGTGGGTGATGGGAAGAAGTTTTGGGCGAGTGTCAGGAGATGAATTAAGTTGGACGGAGGGCATAGCCGTGTGTCTGGTTGTATATTTGTAGGGGTATTTGCGAGTGTGAGGACATTTCATTTTTACATTCTTAGTCCCTGGCTCCTCGATCGGCAAATGCCATACACCATATACCCCCCAATTTTACGACATGCGACAACACAACTGGAAATGATCTCAGAGATTATCTAGTACAATCCATTCATTTTACTGTTGCAGAAATTGAGGCCCAGAGAGAAGTGACTGCACAAATGAGTACACCTTTGCCCAGACCCCCTATGGCAGCTGCATTTGACTTTGGCACAAATTCCCTAAATGACTGAAAATTGCTTTTCATCTACTGCTTTAAGCCTGGGCACGACCCTTAGGTCCGTTGCTTAGGCATCCTAGGAAGAAAGAGCCTATTTGGGAACTCAAAGATAATATGACCTTCACAACCACCCGGTCATCTGATAAATTGTGCCGTGGCTCTAGCCTTAAACCTATTCTGTCACTGAGATAGCTCTTGATATTCGACATGAAATCCCAAGAAGCCCTCTTAGACGCATCTGAAGATCAGTGACGTTGACTCAGCCATCTTGACCTGATTAAACTTGAAGTTCTCAGGCCAATCCATTCACTTGTACTCACTACCCCATGAGTACATTTAACCCACTTCTGATGCAGTTTTTTTTTTTTTGAGAGGCAATGGAGGTTAAGTGACTTTCCCAGGGTTACACAGCTAGTACATGTCAAGTGACTGAGGTGGGGTTTGAATTCAGGTCCTCCTGACTCCAAGGCAGGTGCTCTATCCATTGCACCAACTTGCTTCCCTGATGGTTAATTTAAATGTACTTGATCTGAAACACTTGGTTATATAGTCATGTATGCTAACCATTCAGCTCTTGATGGTCTCCATGTGTGTCTTAAATGGTGAGCTGCCCAAAGGGCAAGAACTGGATCTGACTCAGCAGAATGCATAATAAACACTTTTTGTTGTTCATGATGATGATGATGATGATGATGATGATGGAGGAGGTAGGGGCTATTCTCCCTCCTGGATAATTGAATAGCTTCTAGTCTCCCTCTGATACATTCTGCATATGCTTACTCTATATCAGAGGTTTGGCTTGTTTTTTTTTTAAACCTTTTTTGTGTCATAAGCCTCTTTGGCGTCTTGGTGAAGCTTATGGACCTCTTTTCAGAATAATGTTTTTTTAAATATTCATAATGGAAAGAAATTCTAAATTGCAATTAGAAGCTAATGAAAATAAAAATGTATTTTTTCTCCATCCAAGTTCACAGACCCCCTGAAATCTATCCATGGACTTCTCAGGGGTCTGTGGACCCCAGGTTAATCATTTCTGCTCTCGAGTCAAGCAGAGATATAATAACATCACTTTCCTAGTAAAAGACTTCAATGGCTCCCCAGGGCCCACAATAAAATCCATACTCTTTAGCTTGCCATTTTGTGTTCTCCACAAGCTAGCTCTAACCTATCTTTGCAGCTACCCTGTTACCCTGAATGTTTCTTTTCTTTTCTTTCTTTCTTTTTTTTTTTTTGTGGCAATGGATTTAGAATCAAAGTATCAATGTTTGCTACTTCTCACCTGTGTGACCTTGGCCAAATTACTTCATCCCTTGGAGGCTTAGTTTCTTAAACTGGGGATAATACCTATACTACCCAACTCACAGGGTTGTTGTGAGGATCACATGAAATTACTTATTTCAAAAGTCTTAGAAATGTAAATTGTTGTTATGTTTCAGCCAAACTAGATTACTTGTTTTTTCTCCAAAATATCTTTAGTACTTCCTCTGATCAATCAGTAAATAGCCTTTATTAAGTGCCTTCTGTGGCACTATGTTGAGGAAAATGTGCACATAATTATGTTTAAAATATATAAAGTGAGTACAAGGTAATTTCGTGGGGGAGGAACAAGCAGTTGGGGTTGCAATCAGGAAAACCTTATGCAGTAGGTGGTTCTTGAGCTGAGCTTTGAAGGAAACTCTCATCATCCCTTAATGTCTTTGTTCATACCATCCCTTATGCCCAGAATGCCCTGCTATCTCTGCTTGTTAATAACTATTTTTCAAGGCCCAGCCCAGGTATCATCTCCTTCCCTGGTCCTTCTAGCTAGAAGTCAATTCATTCAATTCAGGAAGCATTTATTAAGTGCTTGCTCTACAGTCAGTGAATAAACATTGAACCTACTGTGTGCTAGGCACAGTGCTAACCACTGGGGATACAAAGAAAGGCAAAAAAGCAGCTTGCCCTCAGAGCTCATAGTCTAATGGGAGAGACAATATGCAAATAATCATGTACAAACAAGATATATTTGTGATACATTGGAGATAGTCAACAAAAGGAAGGCGCTGGTATTAAAGAAATCAAGAAAGGCTTCTTGTACAAAGTGAGATTTCATTTTATGAAGCAATTTGGGTTAAGTGACTTGCCCCAAGTCACACAGCTAGTGTTATGTGTCTGAGGTTGAGATTTGAACTCAGGTCCTCCTGACTCCAGGGCTGGTGCTCTATCCACTACACCACCTAGCTGCCCCCATAGTGAGATTTTAGCTGGGACTTAAAGGAAGCCAGAGAAGCTAGGAGATGGAAATGAGGAGGAAGAGAATTCTAGGCATGAGGGACAGTCAGTGAAAATGCATGGAGTCAGGAGATGGTGTCTTATGTGAGGAACAGCAAGTAGGTGAGTGTTACTGGATCACAGAGTATATGGAGTGGAATAAGGTATAAAAAGACTGTAAAGGTAGGAGGGAGCCTGGAACTTTGATTTCCAAACAGATTTTATATTTGATCCTAGAGGTAATAGGGAGCCTCGAGAGTTTGTTCAGTGGGGAGGGTTTGGGGTGACATGGTTAGACCTGTTGTTTAAGGAAGATCAATTTGGCAGCTGAGCAGACAGAGGGCTGGAGTGGGAGAGACTTGTTGCAAGGAGATCAAGAGAGCAGACTATTGCAGTGTTCAGTTGTGGAGTAACTGAACCTGGGTGGTGGCAGGATCACAGCAGAGAAGAATGTATATACAAGAGATGTTATGAAGGTAGAGTTGATAGGTCTTGGCAAAAGATTGATTATAGAGGGTGAGAGAGAATGAGGAGTTGGGGATAACACTTGGGTTGAGAGCCTGGGTGACTGGGGAGATGGTGATACCCTTGACAGTAATAGGAAAGTTAGGAAGAGGAGAAGATTTGAGAGAAAAGATAATGAATTCAGTTCTGAATATGTTGACTTTCAGATGTCTGTGGGACATGTAGTTTAAGATGTCTAAAAGGCAGTTGGAAATGTAATACTGGAAGTTAGGGGTGGATAAATAGATCTGGGAATCATCAGTATAGAGATGATGCTTGAATTAATGGAACTGATGAGATCATCAAGTGAAATAGTATAGAGAGAAAAGAGAAGAGAGTCCAGGAGAGAGCCTTGGGGGACATCTGTGGTTAGTGATTTGGATGAAGATCCATCAAAGGAGACTGAGGAGAGATCTAAGAGGTAAGAGGAGAAACAGGAGAGTGTAGTCATAAGAACTTCGAAGAGGGTACCAAGGAGAAGAGAGTGATCAGCAATGTGAAAGGTTGTAGAGAGGTCAAGAAGGATGAGTATTAAAGAAAAGGCTGGGGCAGATAGGTGGAGCAGTGGATAGAGCACTGGCCCTGGAGTCAGGAGGACCTGAGTTCAAATCTGGCCTCAGACACTTAATAGCTCTGTGACCTTGAGCAAGTCACTTAACCCCAATTGCTTCTAAAAAAAAAAAAGGTCCCAAATATCTGGCAATTAAGAGATCATTGGTAACTTTGGAGAAAGTAGTTTCATTTGAATGATGAGATTTGAAGCCAGTCTGAAGAGAGTTGAAAGGAAGTGGAGTCACCAGTTGTAGATAGCTTTCTTGAGGAATTTAGCCACACAGAAGAGGAGAGATATGGAATGACACCTAGCAGGGATGGAGGGGTCAAGTGAGGGTTTTTTTTTTTTTTGAGGCTGAAGAGACATAGGCATGTTTCTAAGCAATAAGGAAAAAACTGGTAGAGATTAAAGATAAATGAGAGGGAAGGGATGATAAAAGGGGCAATTTTTCTGGAGAAGACAGGATGTAATGGCATTACATGTGCATTTGGAGTGGTTTGTCTTGACAGGGAGAAGGGGGTACCCTTCATGTGAGACTGGAGTGAAGGAGGAGATGGTAGCAGAAGACATCCTGAGTGATGTGAGATGAGTAGGAGATTAGAGGGAACTCTTTGAAACTGGCATCATTTAAGCACTGTGCTCTTCTCTGGGGATACAATGACAAAATGAAAAATCCTCTGCCCTCAAAGAGCTTGCATTTTAGGTTGATACAACATTTATACAGGGAAGTTTGGTACAAGATTATTTGAGGAGAAAGGGAACACCAAAACCTAGGGGGATCAGAAAGCCTTCTTGTAGGGTGTGTTGCTGGGCTGAGCCTTGAAGGAAACAGAGGTGAGGAGGGAGGAAATTTAGACTTGAAAGAACAGCAAGCAGGTCTGTTTGGCTGGATGGAATGGTTGAGTATGAAAGGGAGTTATGTGAAATAATTCTGCAGAGGGAGGTTTGCAGTCAGACTCTGAAGGGCTTTAAATACCAAGCCAAGAAATTGTTATTATCATAGAAGCAATGGGAAGCCATTGAAGATTCTTCAATAGGGGAAGTGACATAGTCAGTGTTTTAAAAAGATAATTTTTCCAGCTGTGTGGAGGACCACTTGGAGAAAATGAAAACAGGGAGATCAGTTTGGAGGCTATTGCAGTAGTCCAGGAAAGAAGACCTAAACCAATGGGAATGGAGAGAGGAAGGGATAGATTCAAGAGAGGAGACGGAGTTAGAATTGGCAACACCTGGATATGGTGGGGTTAGGGAGAGGGAAAAGTCAAGGATGACTCCAAGACTGAGAACCTGGGTTACTGGAGGGATGGAGGTGCCCTCCACAGAAATAGGGAAGTTTGGAGGAGTCATGATGGATTTTCGGAGAAGGGAAGGCAGTAAGCATTTATGAAGTGCCTTCTATGTGTCAGGCACTGTGTGCTAAGCATTTTTACAAATATTACCTCATTTGATTCTCACAACAACTCTGTGAGGTAAGTGCCATTACTATCCCCAATTACAGTTGAAGAAACTGAGGTAAACAGAAGTTAAATGGCTTGACCAGGATCACACAGCTAGTAAATATTTGAGGCTGGATTTGAACTCAGGTCTTCCTGACTCTAGGCCTGAGATTCACTGGACCACCTAGTTGAAGGAGTTTAATTTTGTACATAATGAATTTGAGATGCCAACAAGATATCTAAGTGTAGATTTTGAGGAGCTAGTTGGTAATCTGCAACTGAAATTCAGGAGAGAAATTAAGACAGGGAATATATAGATTCGGTAGATATTACCAGATTAGAGTTGAGAGGGAATTTAGAATTTAGAAATTATACTCCTGGTCCCTCTCTCCCTGCCCTACTCCCCCCCCCAAGCCATTTTACAGATGAAGAAATTGAGGCTCAGAGTGGGTAAATGACTTGAAATGATTCTTTTTCCTCTGCATTCCTCTAGGATTTAGTTAATAGCACTCATATAGCTCCTATCATGTCCTGCCTTGTACTATACTGAATTGTAGATATTTTATTCCCGTTGTACAAGTGTAAGTTCCCCAAGGGCAGGGAGGTCTCTTATCCATGTTTTTCTCCCCTCCTTAGGATTGCTCACACAGATCCTTCCTGTAGTAGACACTCAGGAAATGATTGTTAAGTGACAGATTGAAAAAGTTTCATTTTCCCTAACTTTCATGTAGAGCCTGAAACTGAATGGACCATGAAGGTCAAGGTTATTTCAGTCTTGGAAGACAACTACATGTATTTGGTCATTGAAGAGAATACCAGAGAAGCCATTGCAGTAGATGCAACAGTTCCTAAAAGGGTAAGTAGGGGTTTGGGAAACTTCTCTTTGTGGGCCTCAGTCACCTTTTAAGGTTGCACCAGCCAGGGCCACCTATTCTCAAGAGGCTGGGTTGTTGTAGGAACTGAAGAATTCCCAGTTTTGAGTCATTGGGCTTTGGCTAGTGAGTTATCAAGACTCTAATCAGTGTTTTTCAGTTTAAGTTCTATGATAACTTTTAAATTATCAAAGAATTAAAATGAAAGAAGTTGAACAACAGTTAAATTTAAAAGCAAAAATTTATGAGGGATCTTTTTGGGGACCCCTTTCCTGTTCAAGTGACTGGGATAGGGGAGACTGAGTAGGTGGGAATACTCTTTTTCTAGGTCTCAAGCCCTGTAAGGCCTGCTGCTATAGTAGGTTTGGTCATAGTAATAATGGTAAAATGGCATATGAAGGAAAGGAATAGATTTATTGGGTTCTTGGCTCTGTCACTAATGTTCTGTATGACTGTTGGTAATTCACTTCTTTTTTCCAAGATTATTTCCCCATTTTTAAAGCAGAGGGATTCACTAGATGGCTTTCAAGGTCACTGATGACATTCCGTATGGTCAAGATTTCTGTGGTAATAGAGAAAGGAGAAGTTACAAAGCTGAGACTGGGGACAACTTGTTGTGTCTCTGACCTTTCTCCTTATAATTGCACTTCCCTGGTCCTCCATGCTGATCACTCTCAAAATCCTGGAGAGACACAGGCCCTCCTTGAAGCCATGCCCTTTAGGGATCATGAACATGACATATACCCTTAAGTCTGAGATTGAGGTTATGGAATCCCTCACAGACCTGAGGGAGAACTGAGAGATCTTCATACTATCGTGGCTGTATTGGAGATGCTCTCATGTTTCCTCTATACTCCTAAAGCAAAATGGTGGTTAGATCAGTTACCCAGTTACCAAATTGTCCTAGGTAGAGCAAAATTTCTTGATGTGTAAAGAAACACATGGAGATTTGAGATTGTCTAGGGAAGGGCTTTGCCTTCTCTAAGGAGGCATTTGTCATTGTCGTCTGCTTGGCAACTTTCTCTTCTGAATGGACTTACTTGTGAGAGTACCTGTGAATTGCTCTCTCTCTCTCTCTCTGTCTTTTTTGGCAATTGGGATTAAGTGACTTGCCCGGGGTCACAAAGCTAGTAAGTGTCTGAGGCTGGGTTTAAACTCAGAACTTCAGGGCCAGTGCCCTATCCACTGTGCCACCTACCTGCCCCGATCTTTCTCTTTTTTTTGCTGTATCCTGTAGTTCCTGAATGCTATTGACCTGATGTTGATGAGTCAAGGAGAGCACAGTTGAGGAACTATGACAAAAGGCAGAGATTCAAGAAGACGTGTCAGTACAAAACAACTCTAAAGAGAAACAAGTGCAGAAAGGGGTCAGTTGACTGCAGGAGCAGAAGCAGGAGAACACTTGGAAATGGATCCCAGCTAGAACTTAGGTCATTCTGGACCTTGGAAAGAGGCCGACAGCACTAGCCCTGTGCCTGCCACCCACGGTCACTACCTCAGACTACTTTCAAATATGACTCAAACAGTCCTGGTACAGGCCTCGAAGCTTTTGTTGACATGCAGCCCACTTCTGGGCAGTCCTGCCTAACGATGCCTAAGCTTTCTGTCAAAGCCTCCTATTATTCCAGCCCCTTCTCTCGTTCCCTCTCAGGTTCATAATCTTATATACCTCTGTCCCAAGCCTGCCTCAGGGAGGGACTCATTATTCTACATTATGATATCTTGCCTTTTGATCCTCCCAAGGTCCAACTCCAGCCATGCTTGTGCTGTGTGGAGGGGGCTGTGTGTGTGTGTGTGGCCAAGGTTAGAGAGGAGGAGATATATTGGCCCATTACTAGCTGTCCAAGGGCTAGATAGGTTTAGGTAATTTCTGGGATGAACTATTTTTGATTGGAGGGAATAAAGCTCTGACAAATGTTTAAAGGTAGTATCTTTCCTTCAGCCACTTTCCTTAAATGAAACAGAAACCTCAAGGCTGTCCGGGGGATGGGCTGTGCTTTCTCCAAGGAGTCTGTGTCATCTGCCTAGCAACCCTCCTCCTCTTCTGACTAGACTCACTTGGGATAGTGTCTGCTCTAATTCTTCATCTGGTTTCAGGCCTAATTGGTCTTTGCTGCTTCACTAAGAAGCCTGAGACCCTGTTATATTCTGCCTGAACCTAAACTGAAATCACACGCAGAGGAATCAGTGAGCTGGAGAAGTCACTGGGTAGTGGAAAAAGCAAGAGGTCTACCTTTGAGTCACAGCTCTGCCCCTTACTAGCCATATGACATTCCAGAGGTCATTTAACCCTTTTAGGCCTCATTTTCCTCCTCTGTAAAATATGGATATTGGATTAATTAACCCCCAAGGTTCCTTTCAGTTTGGATAGTCTGTGATTGTGATTGTGATTCTTGGGAAGGCTTATGCTTCATGGTGACAAAGGCCATTTGGGCTGATGGGCTGGTAGTTTCTGCTGACAAGAATGTATCAGTTCTGGTTCTAGTTTGCATTTCCCCTGGATGCCAAAAGATCCTTCGTCAGGGTTTTTCTATGGGAGAGGGGATTTGGGAAATTCCTTAGCATCTCACCAGCTGTTGTCCACTAACCTGACCAAATGAAGATAAGAACTGTAGGCTGCCCTGCTTTAGGGTCAGCCCTTTGCTTGGTAGGGCTTGGAGCAGGCTGACTTAATTATGTATAACTGTGTTCCTTCCTCCTCAGTCCTATAGTCTTAAGCATTGACTCCTTTACTCCCTCAATACCTTCAAGTCATCTCTTGCTGACTAATATGGTCCTTGAGCAGAGCTCAGGAGGAAGCTGATTCTTTCTCAGGAGCACCCCAATTCCCTTTCAGTTGCTGGAAATTGTTAAGAAGGAGGAAGTGAAGCTGACAACCATCCTGACCACTCATTATCACTGGTAAGTAATTTCCCTTTGTCTAAAGATTGTTCCACACCTGTATCTTCTGGTCCTAAACAGTTCAACAAGACTAGGCCTATCAGAGGCTCTAGGTGGAACAGTGAATAGAGTGTTGGGCCCAGAGTCAGGAGAACCTGAGTTCTAAACTGGCCTTGGACACTTACTAGCTGTGTGATCTGGGCAGATTACTTAACTTTTATTTTTCTCAGTTTCCTCAACTGTAAAATGGGAATAATAAAAGTATCTACCTCCCAGGGTTGTTGTGAGGATCAAATAAAATAATATTTGTACAAGTGCTTAGCATGGTGCCTGGCACATAGTAGATGCTTAATAAATACTTGTTCCCTTTCTTTCTGTCCTCTCTGTATCTTTCAGAGAGGAACTTGACACTTCTCTCTTTGATGAAGGGCAAATGTGAGTCCCAGTTGTTTGGGGTCTGATATACAGATTCACTAGCTTCTTATAATCTCTTATTACTGTATTTTCTCTTCTAAGTATTTCTTTTTAATATAAATTTCCTTTGCTCTCCTTTTTTGATTAGATCTGTGCCTTTTAAATAAAGTTAACCCATCCAGAGCTGTACTTTCAATAGGAGACCAAACTCTCCAAGTCTCAGTGATTTCTGTGATGTCATTCCCCCTTCTTTTAGGATCATCTCTTCACTGTTTGGTACTCATGCTTTTCCCATCCATATTTTGTCCCAACTTCTCCAGTCAACACTCCCAATTCTCCTAGACCTCATAAGACCTTACCTGTCATAGACCTTACCTGTTTCCTTTTGATTTTATATCCTTCCTGGCATTATTATTGTTTTGTTCCTTGCTTTTTGGTGAGGCAATCAGGGTTAGGTAACTTGCCTAGGGTCTCACAGCTAGTAATTGTCAAGAGTCTGAGGCCAGATTTGAGCTCGCGTCCTCCTGACTCCAAGGCCGGAGTTCTATCCACTGCACCTCCTAGCTGCCCTGAGGTATTATTATTGTTGTTTTTATATTTTCTCATTCTTGTTCAGGGGAAGAATTGTTAAATTGTCATAGGATCATAGAACCTCACAGTTGGAAGAGGCCTCAGAGAGATCCCTCTCTAAGCAGGAATCCCATCTGTAACATCCCTGACAAATGGTCAGACAACCACTGTGATACCTGGGGTCCTCATGTTGAAGAGAATGAAGAGTGGACTCAAGGTGGCTTAATAAGGACATCTTGAAGAGGAATTAGATTTATTCTCTGTGGCTTCAGAGGACAAGACGAGGAACAATGAGTGGAAGTTATGAGGGGGTAGATTTTAACTCAATATAATGGAATGGATCTACTTTAGATATAGTGAAATCTCCTCACTCTGAGGGAGTCTTCAAGTAAGGCCAAGGGACCACCTGTTAGGAATGCTGTGAGATTCTGTGAATTTTTCACCCTTGGGAAAGCTTGACTTTGAGTCAGTGTCAAAGACCAAAGGATAGCATACAGCTCTCTTTTATGCTGTGATGCCATTTGAAGAAACCAGAAACCACAGGTCATGTATGTGCTCCTTGCTTCCCTGAGTAAAGCGAGGACAGGTTCAAGGAAATTAGAGTCCTGGGGTGGGACATCTTTAGTTGTAACCTGTGTTTCAACTTGAATTATTTTGAGGTTATGGGAAACTCCTATCTACCTTTCTGGTATTTTCTTTTTTTCCCTTGATTGGTGATCAGAGAAAGAGAACTCTACTTAGTCAAGTGTTTGGAGAGCACCCAAATCTGCCTGCCATGGCAATGAGGGGGCTCCTGGATTGGCTGAGGATCATCCCGGGATTATAGAACTACAAAAGAGCTCCCTAATAGCCAAGTCCCATATCATCTGTCTGAGTATATTTTGAAGAATGGATACAGTTCTCATTTGTACCAACAAGCATGTGGCTGTCAGCAGCATTGGTATTGGGTACACCTAGCTTAGAGAGAGTCAGGATGTGCCAATCTGGGTCTGAGAAACTTTACTTAAGGATTTGGCTAGAAAGGTGTTAACTGTATCAATAACAAAGACAACAAAAATCATACGATTATCTCAACAGATACAGAAAAAGCTTTTGACAAAATGTAACACTCCTTCTTATAAAAACACTAGAAAGCATAGGAATAAATGGAACCTTTTTAAAAATGAGAAGTACTACCTATATAAATCCAAGAGCAAACATTATCTATGATGAGGATTAGCTAGAAGCCTTCCCAGTAAGTTCAGGGGTGAAAGAAGAATGTTCATTATAATCACTATTATTCAATATTGTATTAGAAATGCTAGCTGTAGCAATAAGACAAGAAAAAGAAATTGAAGCAATACAAATAGGTAGTGAGGAAATAAAACTTTCACTGTTTGCAGATGATATAATGGTATATTTAGAGAACACTAGAGAATCAACTAAAAAAAAACAGGTAAAACACTTAGCAACTTTAACAAAATTGCAGGATACAAAATAAACCCACGTAAGTCATCAATATTTCTATATGTTACCAATAAAACCCAGCAGGAAGAGATAGAAAGAGAAATTTCATTTAAAATAACATCACACATTATAAAATACTTGGGAGTCTATCTGCCAAGACAGACCCTGGGGCTATGTGAACACAATTATAGAACACTTTTCACACAAATACAGATCTAAATAATTGGAAAAATACTCATTGCTCATGGGTAGGCTAAGCCAATATAATAAAAATGACAGTTCTTCCTAAATTAATTTATTTATTCAATGCTATACCAAACTACCAAAGAATTATTTTATAGAACTAGAAAAAATATAACAAAATTCATCTAGAAGAACACAGATCAATAATATCAAGGGAATCAATTAAAAAAAAAAAATCTGAGGGAAGGGAACCTACCAGTACTGGGTTTCAAACTATATTACAAAGTGGTAGTCATCAAAACAATTTGGTACTGGCTAAGAAATAGAGTGGTGGATCAGTCAAATAGATTAGGTACACAATACCCAATAGTAAATAACCATACTAGTCTAGTGTTTGACAAACCCAAAGATCCAGCCTTTTGGGGCAAGAATTCATGATTTGACAAAAATTGCTGGGAAAACTGGAGAGCAGTTTGGCAGAAAGTAGGCATGGACCATGTCACATGGCATACTGAGATAAGGCAAAAATGGGTACATGGTTTAGACATAAAGGGTAATAGAAGCAAATTAGGGGAGCATGGTAAAATGTAACTGTCAACTCTAGAGGTAAGGGAAGAATTTATGACCAAACAAGATAGAGAAGATCATGGGAAGTAAAATGGATAATTCTGATTACATGAAATTAAAAAGGTTTTGCACAAACAAAACCAATGCAGCCAAAATTAGAAGGAAAGCAAAAACCGAGAAAACATTTTTATAGTGAGTTTCTCTGATATAGGCCTCATTTCTCAAATATATAGAGAATTGAGTCAAATTTATAAAAATAAGAGCCATTTCCTAATTGACAAATGATCGAAGGATATGAACAGGTAGTTTTCAAAAGAAGAAATCCAAGCTGTCAATAGACACACGAAAAAAAATGCTCTAAATCACTATTGATGAGAGAAATGCAAATTAAAACAACTCTGAGGTGCCACTGCACACCTATCAGATTGGCTAACATGACAGAAAAGGTAAATAACAAATTCTGGAGAGGATGTGGAAAAATAGATACACTGAAGTGTATGGTGGAGTTGTGAACTGGTCCAACCATTTTGGATAACAATTTGGAACTACACCCACAGGGCTATAAAACTGTGCATACCTTTTGACCCAGCAATATCATTACTAGGTCTGTATCTCAAAAAAGAGAAAGAAAAAGAAAAGGACCTATATGTACAAAAGTATTTATAGTAGCTCTTTTTGTGGTGGCAAAGAATTGGAAATTGAAGGGATGCCCATCTGTTGGGGAATGGCTAAGGAATTTGTGGTATATGATTGTGATGGGATAGTGTTGTGCTGTAAGAAATAGTGAGCAAGGTGGGTTTGGAAAAACCTGGGAAGATATATGAATTGATGCAAAGTGAAGGGAGCAAAACCAGGGGAACACTGTACATAGTAACAGCAATCTTGTAACAATATTCAAATGTGAAAGACTTGGATACTCTGATCAATACAATAATCTAAGACAATTCCAAAGGATCCATGATGAAAAATGCTGTCCATTTCCAGAGAGAATGCTGATGATCTCTGAGTACAGATTGAAGCATACTTTTTAACTTTGTTTCTTGCTTTTTATTTTTTTTAATTATTTTTTGTTTTTTTTGCAACATGACTAAAGTGGAAATGTTTTATATGACTTCACATGTATAAGTGATATCATACTGCTTGCCTTCTCAATGGATGGAGGAGGTGTGGGAGGGAGGGAATATGGAAATCAAAAATTTTAAAACAGGAATGTAAATATATATATGTATGTATATATACATATATACACACATAATATGTATATACATATATACATACATAATATGTATATACATACACACACATATATACATACATAATATGTATATACATATATACATATATATACATACATAATATGTATATACATATATATTTAAAGGAAGCTAAGGTGTTCCACAGTTTGGGATGGGGTAGATTTCTATGTATAGATAAATAATCAGAAGATGTAGTTTGAGACAACTTCTCCAATTTATTAGTTGTGTGTAGAGTGGAAAGAACTCAAGATTTGGAGTGAAAGGGTTTGGTTCGACTCTAGTCCTGCCACTTCTGTTGTCCTTGGTCAAGTCACTTTACTTTATTGAGGCTTTGTTTCCTCATCCGTAAAATGAAGTTGGACTGGATGAGCGCTAAGGGGCCTTCATCTCTAAGCCTATGGAATCCTAAGTAATTTTACCTTTCTGATCTCAGTTTCCCCATAAGTCAAATGGGGCTAATAACACTTGTACTACCTGTCCACAGGAGTGTTATGAAGAAAGAATTTTTTTGAACCAAAGAACACTATGTCAATGTAATTGAACAATTATTGCTTTTCTGCTTTTCCTTGTTAAAAATCAAACCATACAAAACACCTTCCCCCACTTCAAACTTAGAAACCTGTTCTTATGGTATGGAGTATATACTGATGGGTGTGCATGAGAAAGAAGAAAGTAGGTGCTAGGACCAACATCAAGAGAGTGGCGTCAGGGTGGGGTATATCTCTGAATCCATGGGATTCAGAGGAAGGCCAATGGCCTCGTGGCTTAAGTTGTGAGTTCAGGGATCAGTGTAGAAAGTGGTGAAAGGTGAAGAAGGCCTTGAGGTCAAAGCCACTGCTTGGTGGCAGATAGAGGAACTAATACACCAGGCAGCTTGTGGAGGGTCAGTGAACCTGAGACCTAGGATAGGATCCTTTACATGTATGTGGTGGCACCCTGGGAGCATCTTTCTAGGGGCCCTGAAGCAGAAATAAGGACCAAGACAGGGCAGAAAGTAGATAGGGGAAATCCCTTGTCTCATAGCATCATATGCAGTTATCCCTTCAGCATCACTGGAGTAAAATTTTTTGGCCCTTTGTACCAGAAAAGAAGTCTGAATTATTATGGTATTAAAAGATAAAATATGTTGATATTATATAACACTATACATATATTTGATGCATTTCTGACTTTCTAGACCTTTCTGTGGTGTTTGCTGGCTTTTCTGTCTTGTCTGCAGCTTCTGCAGAACTCCCCCCAAATTCCCATTTAACTTCTTATGCTGACCCGAGATACATTGAAACCACGATAGGGAAAGTCTCGATGTGGAAGGGATAACTGTAGTTAGAAGGAACCCTTAGAAGCCCTCTAGTGGAACCTATACAAGGAACTCTTTCATGTCTGATAAGTAGTCATTCAGCATCTCTTTGAAAGATCTCCGGTGATGGGAAAGCCACTCTCTCCTGAGGCAGTTCCTTCCACTGTTGGACAATGATAGGAAGTCACCTCTACCCATTGCTTCTCATTCTGCTCTCTAGGATCAAGGCTCCCACTTAGGTTTTTGGAGCTGGGGGAAGGGAATATGGGATACAGAGAATCGTGGCTTATCTCGGGTCCTTGAAACCTTCCTGTCTATCCAGGGATCATTCCAGGGGCAATGAGGAGCTGGTGCAGCTGTGTCCAGGGCTCCGGGTGTGTGGTGCTGATGAACGCATTGGTGCCTTGACACACAAGTTGACTCACAACCAGGAGCTCAAGGTACTGTGGCTGCCCAGGGGCAGGGCAGAGTCAGCTGTTCTCTTCTGTCCTTCCCTCCTCTTGGATGTCCTGTGCTCAAGTATGCCACCTTACCTCCCCCCCATTGCTTAGCCCTGGGAAGTTTCAGGGTTAATGAGGCTGTTGGGCTGGAAGCAGGGACCAAGAGTTATCAGGCATAGGATAAGCAAGTCACTGCTAAGCCTCTTAGCATGACCATTTCTGAGTTTCACTACCCTGAGAGAGATATGAGGAGGAGGAGGAGGAAGATCCAGGTTCTATACCTAGGAGGCTCAGTCTTTTTGGGAAGACATGGAAAACAGAAAGGAAGGATGCATATCAGGGTATAATCTAGTTGCCCAAGGGCGTGGAGGGGTGCAGAATGAGGGCACTGAGCATAGATTGGATGCCCAAAACTCTGGTCCTGCTCACATTTTCTTGTATGACCTTGGGTAAACCACATGGATTCTCTGTTCTTATGTGCCTCTATCACTCTTTTGTGGAGAACCACATGGCAATAAAAGAGACAGGCCCAGGGAAAGACGCTGGGTGGTTTCCAAGCAGCTGAGATAAGCTTTGGCCAGGAGGGGGCATCCCTAAGCCTTGTAATCAGTTGGTGAAATCTCATTGTTAAAGAAGGACTCAGGTCTGAAGATGTAGAAGGGGGTTTTAAAGGATGAGGCTAGCTGTCTTTGGTCTAGCAAATCAATATTTCAGTTGGAGGCAGTGTGGTGCAGCGGGAATAGCACTGGGTCTCAGTTCTGCTGCCAACTTGTGATCTTGAGCAGGTTGCACCTAGGAAGGCCTCATTATCTCTAGCAAAACTTGATTATCTCCAAGGTCCCTTCCTACTCTAACATTCTGTCTTCTAAGGCCAGCCAGACCAAAGGCTTCATGATGCCCTTTTATGTAGAATGGGTTCTGGAAATTAGGGGGAATGGTACCACCAAGTCTGTTTGTCTTCAGAAACCTGCCACCGATCCTAGGTGAGGCATGCGGAGGACACCAACTTTTGTCTCAGTCTTGTTTCCTTTCTGCTGGGTGTCTTCCTCTCTCCCCTGCACTGGGTCTGTGGTGGAATTTGGCCCTTGCCCATTGGCCTCTTACCATGAAAGTGAGAGGGATACCGTACCTGGAAGAAGGGTATGGGATAGGGGTTACAGACACTATCTCGGTCAATTTGGGAGCACACCTTAGGTCAGGGGTTGGGGCAGGGTTGACAGGGTAAGGGGAGGGAAAACTAGTAAAGCTCCAGGCAATTTCCTGGCCCTTCCCTTCCCTCTGCAGTTTGGAGCCATCTGTGTGCGGTGCTTGCTCACACCTGGCCACACCTTGGGCCACATGTGTTACTTCATGTGGGAAGACAACTGTCCAGATGCTCCAGCTGTGTTCTCAGGTACCTGGAGGTGCTTCTTTGTGTTGCATAGGCCTAGCAGCCAGGGTGAGCAAGAATGGGAGGGAGTACTTTGGTTTTCCTTTGGGATTGTAGTCGGCATCATTCCCTGTGCATTCTCCTTTGGCTGATGTTGTGTGTGGATGTCTTGTCCCAATGGGACCATTCCAGCAGACATAGCATGACAGTTTTGTCCACCTCCTGCCATCTGGGCTTGTGTGTGGCCATGTGTCTCTTTTCTTTGTATTGTGTCACTCTCCATGATGTCCCTTTCCCCTGGCCACTAGAAAGAACTTCCAACCTCCTTCCCTGAACAGGCGATGCCTTGTTCATCGGTGGTTGTGGTCGACTCCTGGAGGGGACAGCAGAACAAATGTACCGGAGCCTCAATGAAACACTGGGGACTCTGCCCAAGGAAACTGTGAGCACCAATTCTTAGCCTGCTTCCCTTTCCTTATCTTCCTCTTGCAATCTTACCACATTTTTCCTCCAGAGCCTAAATCTTCCCCCTTGGGAGGCTTTAGGTAGAGCTGGGGATGAGCTATCTGATGTATGTTTCCTTGGTTTCCCTGACCCTACTGAATGACATCCTGACTGGGGCCTGATACTTCCAGGTTGCTGGGATAAGATACAGAAATGTAGTACCAGTCCTAAAGGACCCTGCAGTATGGAACTCAGGGAAAGTAAGGGGGTAGGAGAGCCAAGAATCTAAATCTGTAGGGGTCAGTTCACCTAGTTTTTGTCTGTAAGGGACAGATGACTTAAGTTTGTCAGGCATGGCTGGGAAACAGAACCTAGAATCTAGCTTAGTAATCTCTTGATTAGTCAACTCTATGCCTGCCCACAATTGGAAGCTGGGGCTTTGCCCCTGAGTGTCAGGGGATGCATTAAATAGAGAAAAAATGAAGAGAATGAAATAGCTAGAGTATGGGACCTTCCTGTCTAGGTCTATAACCTTACTGGAACTGTATAAAAATCCATTTGTTCACCATAATTGAAATAACTGGTTAATATCCATTATTTCTTCTGTTGTATTTAGGAATGCTGTTGCTTAGATGGCCAAATAGTAGTGATGTACTTAATCCTTTCTGCTTACTTCCCCAAAGTTGGAGCATTCTTGGGAGACCAGATAGTTGGTTATGTTCATCTATATCCCATATAACTTTTGCCTTATGTTATAAATATTATGGACCAGTCTTTTAATTCTTTAGTAGGATTTGTTCTCTAAGCATGTCTCCAGTAGCAGAGATGGGCAATCTTGAGCTAGCCATATTTTCTTACCTGTCTCCCCTTGTAGACAACATAATTTTCTTTGGGGGTGGGGAGTAACTGGCAAGGTTAATTAAGGGTCAGATAAGGATTAGAATCAGGATTTGGTCTGTGACTAGGCTTAGGGTTCAATCAGGGACCAGGATTGGAGGTTATCCTGTGATTGGGGTTAGGGGCTCAGTGTATGTAATAGGAATAAGCTAATTGATTTAGATGGGGTTTTCACTTGTAAGTCTCCAAGACTAGAAATGTTACCTAGACCTACAAGGCTAAATACTGGAATACTTTAGTCTTGGGTTTTAGTCTATACTGCCACTTTGATCCTATGTGTGATTAATCTAGGCCCTTGGCTTTTCTCTCTTTTCACTCTGTCTATACGCCTACAACTGGCATGAGTTCTGGAGAGCCAGCCTAGGATTAGAAAGGGGGAGAAACAGACAAGTTCAATGGCAGCAGTTCTGGAGAGAGACACAGAGAGAGAGAGAGAGAGAGATTGATTTGGTGGGGATGGAGACTCATAGTTGTTGGTCAACAAAAGGTTTGGGGAATCCCAACCTATCTGCATGGATGACAGACATTGGGCTGATGTGCCTACCTCATTGTCCCCAGCTGAGCTTATTCTTGGGGTGGTTTGGAACATCATTCTGTTGGCTAGATGTGCCAGGGCAAAATCCTGGCACTATGGAACCCTAAGCATCTCTTCCTTTCCTTTTGCAGAAAGTGTTCTGTGGGCATGAGCATACTGTGAGGAATCTCAAGTTTGCTTTGAAAGTGGAGCCTGATAATGAAGCTGTGAAAACAAAGTTGGCTTGGGCCAAAGTAAGTATTATAGAATTTGGGAAGACAAATGGGGCATTGAGGCAGTGTTGGGAGGAAGTAAGTGGAGGTATTAGGTAAGCCTGCTTTGAAACTGAGGACTTAGAAAATGCAATGGGGAAAGAAATTTATTTTATATAATATACCCCTTTGGTGTTTACAAGTCAGAACTAGAAGCCTCATTATATTATCTAAACTTAACCAAAATACCTAAAAAAGGAGGCATGCTGGTCAATTTGTTAAGATTTTAGAAATCTCAGGTTAAAAGATGTAAGCTATTTGCAAAAACACTTGAGAATTGCTTCCCAAAGATGGTAGTGACAAATTCCCTTAGGTTTTTATTTCCCTATAGGCCTATAACTGGCATGAGTTCTAAGAGAGCCAGCCTAGGATTAGAAAGGGGGAGAAACAGACAAGTTCAATGGCAGCAGTTCTGGAGAGAGACACAGAGAGAGAGAGACAGAGACAGAGACAGAGACAGATTGATTTGGTGGGGATGGAGACTCATAGTTGTTGGTCAACAAAAGGTTTGGGGAATAAACAACAATATATTTCAGCTCTATCATTTTTGCTTTGTAGTAATAAAGCAAAACAACTGATATCTCAGGAACACCTGGATAAAAGGTTGTTTTTATCATTGCTCCTCCCTGTCTTTCTGTGTTGAGTGGGATGCTCGTCTCCATAGTTATGGTCCATTTCAGGAACAGGGGCCTTTGGCAACCCAATGTTTCAAAGGAAGGGGTTTTATTGAGTCTGGGCTATCAGGAACCCAGATGTAAATTTGGGAGAGGTCTTGCAAAGAAATTGTCAGTCCATTCAATTGGGCTCTTGCGTTCAGTCAAGCTCATCCTTCTTGGCTTGGCTGGCACTCTGACTCCTCCGTGCAACTACTAATAGACATTTAGTGATGACCCAGATTGGAATGAGTTTTCTCAGCTTACTGGGATCAGCTTTCTCTCATTTGGGGATACCTTCCTCTTCTGGTCCTTAGTATACTGATCCTACTGGCACAGAGTAGGGATGTTAATGATTGTTAGACATTTGAAAGATAGGGGACTAGGGCATATAGTCCTGACTGTCCCTCCTTTTGTATGAGCTGACACGATAGATGTTCTCCAGTATCTCCACTACCTATCTGAGCTCTTTCAAAGTCACAGCTTTGGTGGCTGAAGTTTCCCTCCTTGTGGTAGCCAATAGAATCTAATTTACCTCCCAAGCAGAAAGTCCTTCCTGGTGCCGCACAGAAATGCTCTCTTCACACATTGCTTATTGTGTCCCGGAGGAGAGGGGAGTGAGCACCAACAAGAGCTGTTTATAATCCCTGTTCGTCGTGACATGTTCCATTAGGGACTTTAGCAGGCAGTTTAATGAGTTGTTGTGGCAGAAGAAAGTAATCACTTGATGGGGAGCCTCTTTGCACTTGGCGATAGGTTGGTCCTTGGATGGCAGACACAGTTATCCAGTGAGCCCTGCTTAAAGCCAGTTCTTGAGCTCTCTTTCTCCTTTGAGAATCCGTGGTCACTTTCATGCCATAATGAGGTTTCAGAGCTTTGGCAAAGAATTTCCAAGCCTTGCTAATTACTAACAAGTTTTATGTCAGCTTATGTGTATACCCTAATATTTAATGATAGTTTATAACTGCCAGGATACCTCTGGCCTATGTTCTTTCTCCCTTCTCCTTTCATTCCTTCAGTGTTTGGATGGTTCCTCTGTCTTCTCCCATTAGAACTTTTGACTTTCAATCCCCTCAGCTCCTTTATCTCAGTTTCTTTTACCCTGTTAGTTTTTGCTTCTCTTATCCCTTGATCCCTGCCAGTTCTTTTTGCTTTGTCCCCCAATACTGGTGTGTTGAGCTGGGTCAGCCACTTAGAAGGCAGCTGTACTAGCCCTTATGCCATACTTAGCCCCTAGTATATTTCTGTTATAAGGCATTGTACGATAATGATGTTTTGTAACCCTCATCTGGTGTTGCTTAGAATGTGGGGGATGTTTCCAGGCCTTTCTTGGACTCATTAGCCATTTCCATTGTCCTCCTCTTCGGCCACTAATAGGGCTGTGGTAGTATGTGGCCATTAATTCCTTCTTGTCTCTCCTTTTGGATGTGGGGCTGTTGTGTTGTGAAAGGAGTGGGGGTCAGGTTTAGGTCCCTGTGATTTCCAGTTTTCTTCATAATGGGTGGGTAGCTGCTAGCAGGAGAGCCAGAAAATAGAAGCATGAGCTGAGCATTCTTTACGAAGTGCCTACAGTAGCTGGTTCTGAGCCTGCAATTTGCTTTGGCTTTTTTGTTAACAACTTAAATGTGATATGGCATGTGGAAAAAGTTATCACTGAACCTGTTATCGTTCTAGGCTAGAGACGATGATGACATACCCACAGTACCTTCGACCCTAGGAGAGGAGTTTCACTATAACCCCTTCCTAAGAGTAGTGTAAGTATCTTCCTGTTGGTTGGGTTTGCTTCAGCTCTGTAATATGGAACATATTCCACGTGTGTACATGCTCGCTTGTCCTCTACTCTGACCTCTTCCTCTGTTCATCCACCCTCCCCTCAACTGAGCCTTGCTACTGTAGGGAGGTGCTCTACCTTCAACCCATCTCTTAGGTGTCCAGGGCTGCTGGAAATCCTGTTTTGAAAAATATTTGTATCTTTAGTTTGAGAAATGTGTAGCTCCCATGGGATGATGATGACATTTTTGTTCCAAGGGTTGGTTGTTGTGGGCCCAGAAATGTCAGCTTAGTAGTTGAGTGAGAAAATTCACACTGGAACAGACAGCGTGCTTAGAATGAGAAAACTTCCAGATAGGAGAGCCATGTGGCAAGTGGCGTAAGTCCTTCCTTGGCAATAATTTGGCCGGTTAGTGATGTCTTTATGGGACCATTTGCTGCACTAAGTGGAGTATCCTTGGTAATGGAGACAGTTGGGCTTGTCAAATTTCAGAGCATAAAGGGCTGCTTGAAGTTCTGCCCTGTCACATATGTGGACTTTTGCCTGGGTAAGTGAACTTGTCATGAACTGAGAGGGCTGGGTTTTGAGGAAACTATTAGGTTTTTGAAAACTTAACACAGGCCATATGCTCTGTCCCTTTCTGGCCTTCTCCTTGCTCTCTAGATCATAGATGGAAGGGCCTTTAGAGCCTAGTAGGTCAACTTCTGACTTGAAGTACAAATCCAATCTACAGCATTCATAAGTGGTCATTCACTCTCTACTTGAATGCCTCTGCTAAAACTCAATGTGTCATGATAACGCCCGTCCACCTGTCTCATTTTTGGAGAATGATTGTTACGAAGTTCTTCCTTGAATTGACCTGAGATCTATGTCCTTGTTACTTCTTGTTTTTTTTCTGCCTCCACTCACTCTTCCCCAGGGTAAACATGCCTAGTTTTTTCAATCAGTTCTTACATGGCATGAGCTTGAGATCCTTCACCATCCTGGTTGCACACTTCCAGACAATCTCTAGCTCATCTGTATCCTTCCTAAAATGTAATGCCAAGAACTGAATACCATACCCCAGATGTGGTTCAATGAGGGCAGTATATAGCAGGACTATTTCCTCCCCTTTTCTGGGCACTGTGTAACTTTTAGTGGAACTAAGGTTGTACAGAGGCAGTGTTGTAGAGTAGAAGGCTAGCCTTGGAGGTGAGATGGGAGTTTAAGCTCCACCTCTGACACACACTGGCTATGTGAGCTTGGGCAAGACACTTACCCAGGAAAACTCTCTAAGATTGAGTTGAAGAACAGTTTTCAGTTTGCATTGGGGGAGCTTTTCCACTGGGAGTCCCCTATTCCAATGAAATCACTGGTCTTGGTTGCCATATCACATCGAGCCTGCTGTCCACTAAAACCTCTAGATCTCTTTTCTGACTGCTGCCTAGCCAACCCTCCCTCATCTCATACGTGTGAAGTTGAATTTTTAAATCCAAGCACTGTCGTGGCTCATCTTACCAGATTCAGTTCAGTTGTTGAGTTCACTTTTCTCCTCGTGCACAAGAAGAGCGTGGTTTTGTCAGATGTTTTGCTTAAAATCTAGATATAGTACATCTGTCTTGCTGCCCTGATCTAGAAGTCCTGTCCAAAAGAGGAAATCTGGTCCATGTGGCCTGACTTGCTGGGGAGCTCTTCTAGTTCTTGGGAGTGCTGCTTCCTTTCCTAGCTTTTCACTAATTGTTTAATAATAAGGTCTAGGATTTTGCCAGGAATAGAAGTCAAAGCTCACTAGTTTATAGTTGGAACACCTAATTCCACACCCTTCTCCTTTTTCAAAACAATCAGGACATTTGTCCTTTCTTGTTCGCTGACAGTGACCCAGCAGTCACATTGTCAGTTTAGTAGCTTGGTGTATAGTTCATTTGAACCAGGTGACTTGAACCCATTAAGGGCAGTTAATGTTACTTTACTTATCTGTTTCCTATTAGCCGTTTTTATTCTGTCCTTTCTAGCCCAGAGATTATTCTCCTTGGAAGAGGAAATCATTCATTCATTCAGGACAGGAGCAAAATAAAGTGTTGAATATCTTTGTCATCAGTTACCATTGTCCAGTTCAGCATGGATAGTAACAGTCCTATCCCTTCTTTGATCATCCTCTTTTCCCAACACAGGGTCCTCTTCCCCCCCCAATACTTTATTTTGCTGTCCTTAGTATTCTACAACTTCCTTTAACTTCCGTATGTTTGGGCTTTAGCACTCTTGAAGCTGTTCTTACAGGTCTATGCCACAGTTCCGTATCCATCTTCCATTACTTCACTTTGCTTTTAGAGTTTCTACATTTTTTTTTTTTTTTTTTTGGTGAAGCAGTCAGGGTTGAGTGACTTGCCCAGGGTCACACAGCTAGTAAGTGTTAAGTGTCTGAGGCCAGATTAGAACTCAGGTCCTTCTGACTCCAGGGCTGGTGCTCTATCCACTGCACCACCTAGCTGCCCCTACATGTTTTTTTTTTTTATTATTATAAGCTGGTTGGTGAGTGCTTAATGCATTCACATCTGTCTGTTTAGACAACTTCCTTTTTCTTCCTCATTGAAACTGTTTCTCTTCTTCTTCAGAATTTCATTCTCAAGAGCTTCCAGTTCTTCCCAGACTGCTTTCCTTTGCAGCATTTTAGTCTGTGGCATCCTATCATTTCCTGAACCCTTTAATATCTACACCCCCAAAATCTAGGGTGCATATTAGATGCTTAGCTTTCCACAGGCAGCTAGATGGTGTCAGGAAAACCTGAGTTCAAATCCAACCTCAGACTCTTACTAGCTGTGTGATCCTGAGCAAATCACCTCTGCCTCTGTTTCCTCATCTAGAAAATGGGGATAATAATAGCACCTCCCTTGCAGGGTTGTTGTGAGGATGACATGAGATAATATTTTAAAGATCTTTATAAACCTCTATGGCACTATATAAATGCTAGTTATTGTTATTACTGATTATTACAAATTCTAAGATAGTGTGGTCATTTCATCCCAAGGTTCCCATCATTTCCATTCCAGCAGCCAGTTCCTCATTTCTTCTTCAAGATGTGCTTCAGTTTGTCTGTTTCCTTGCTAAGATATGGTGTTCAAAAATGGACATAGTAGTCCTTATGAAGCATGACCAGGCAGACAACAGCCAAAAGATCACATTTGCTCTGTTGGCTGCCTTGCCAAGGTATATTGAGCTTGCATCATCCCTCCCCTCCCCACCCCACCAAGTTCTTTTTTTTTTTTCTGTGAACTACTCCATAGTCACATCCCTCCTATTCAGGCCCTCGTGCCCACTGTCCCAACCCTTTTCCTTGTGTTTACCAGCATCTGACTTTAGAGGAATGCTCTACTACTTTACTGCAAGGAGAAGAGATTCAGAAGGAGGGGAAGAGGCACTGAGAAGTGTGGACTGAGCTGAGTGTTCACAGGCCTAACAGTTTCCAAGGCTTCCTCCTCAGAGGGTCCAACTTTCTCCTGTTTGGGAAGAATGCCATTCCCAACAGCAGTACAGGAAGGCTAAACTAGCTCCAAAATCAATTATTCCTGCCTTGGAAATTGCTAGGCCTGTGTTTCCATAGATACCATCAGGTGAAAGATAGTCCAGTAAGGATCAGAGAAGAAGAGATGCTGATGAGGCCTACACAGTTTTCTTCTTGACAATAATACTACAGAAGTCTTCTGTCTTCCTGGGGCATGTGTCCGAGGATGTGACCAAGAACCTCCCAAGACTTGTTAGACCTGATTACTACCTACTTCTTGTGAATGACATGGCAAAAATGATATTGCCAGAAGGAGTCTAGAAAGCATTGCTAAAGATTATGAAATCTTGGTTAAGAAGCTGAAAACCTGAGGGCTTGGAGATATTTTCTCTCATGCTGCTGACCGAAGGCAGGGGCTTCAGAAGAGAAAGGCAGATTTGGGCAGTGAAAGGTTGGTTACAAGATGTCTGAGGAGGGGACTTAGATTTCTGGACTGTGGCTTAAAATGCAGAAATGACACCCTCTTGGCCAGGAATAGAGTGTACCTAAAAAGAGCTAGTAAAAATGTATTTGTTTGTAGTATTACAAATCTAATTAAAAGTGAACTGCATATATTTATCCACCAAGCTAGATACCATAAAAAGTAACTCCAGTGAAGGAAAAGTAGCAGTGGAGACTACCTAGGATTGCACGATAAAATAAAAAACATTCATGACATCAGATACTTATTTACAAATGCACAGGACATGGATAACAAACAAGGTAAAGAAGTAAATTTGACCTCTGTATTGCTGGGATTTGGCAGGATGGAACTCATGATCAGAATATGGCTCTGGAAAGCTATTCCTTATGTAAAAGAAATAGGATAATTAAAAGGAGGAACACAGTAGTGATGTACCTAAAGAAGATATGTTCATCTGAGGAAATCCAGGTATCAGAATCAGGGGAAGAATTGATAAGGAGCACATTTAGGTGAAGAACAACAGAAAAATAAACAATATTGTCATGGGGTAGTGTACTGTAGACCACTTAGAGGAAATGGGTGAGAAGTTCAGGAAATCAATTCTATGCTTGGCACACAGGTGTGATAGAGAAGTGATAGGGTACTTCAGTTAACTGGACATCTGCTGGAGTTCTATACCAAAAGGAGAGCAACTAATAATTTCTAAAACTAATAATGTTTCCTAATGATAATTCCATTCTTCAAAAGTTGGAGGAAACAAGAGGAACTTCTTTTCTGGACCTGATTCCCACCAACAAGGAACAACTGGTCACTGAATAGAAATAATGAGAAACTTATTGGGTGGGGGAGGTGGGGAAGTGACCACTTCATTTTAGGAGGGCAAGCTGGGCACAGTGTGATGTGTCTGGGAGTGTCTAGAGTCTGGGAGTTCAGATTTCAGAGGGTTCAGAGAAAGGATAGGTAGGAATTCGTGCACTAAAATTCTACAGGGTAAGTCAGCCTAAGAGGGATGACTCCAGAATGAAATTCTAAAGATGGAAATGGAAGCAATTCTATTGAGGAACAGAGGGTGCAGTTGCCCACAGAGACCACTGTGGATACCTAGGAAACTCACTGAACTACAGGGGTTTAAGACAGCTACGGAAGATGAAGAGTATTAGTAATGCTAACGCTCGGGATGGGTGGGGAGGTTGGTGAGGAAAGCTAATGAGAACAGAACAGGGTGAGTTTTTTTAAAACTATATTGAAAAAAACAGGAAGATCAAAGAAGCAGAAGACTGCTGCTGCCAAGGTGGATGGGATGATGATATATAGCTATGATGACGGAAGACAACGTGGAGCTACTCAACTTTTAATTTTTTTCTGTTGCCCCCCTCCCCTACCCCGCCACCTCAAGAGGAATATCTTTGGCCTGGAAAGGACAAAACAAAAATGGCTCATAGGGAGTTGAGATTCAAGATAAGGAGATAGTGAGAGAGCACCTAGCTGCTTTTGATGAGTTCAAATCCCCAGGACCAGATGAATACCAGGGTACTATAAAAGAACTTTTGAATGTAATTGCTGTCCCACTGCCAGTGATCTTTAAAGACTGTGGTGAATGGGAGAGGTGCCACAGGATGGATTTTGAAATAAGGAAGAAAATAGAGTCTACAAATTAGGCAAGAGAGTTTGACTTCGATTCCTGGCAAAAGTCTAGAACATATTTTTAAAAGGGATATTGAGTGAATAGTTAGAAAAGAAAGCCATGATAATAAACCAGCATGACTTCAAGAATATGTCACATAAACACCATTTTCTTTGATTAGATTTGTAGATGAGGGGAAGCAATGGCATTACATATACCCTGATCTCCCAGACTAGCAAGTCTGCTTGAATTTCAGCAAGGTATTTGATATAATTGCATGTTATTCTTATGGCTAAGAGAAGGATGTCAGTTGGAAGACGGCATTTAGGTGATTTCAGAACCAGTTGAATGATTGGGTCCAAAAAGTAGACATTAATTTTCCAATATCAACTTAGAGGGAGGCGTCTAGTGGAGTGCCCCAGGGATCTATTTATCTTTGGTCATGTTCTGCTTAATATTTTTATCATTGACTTAGATAATGGCATAGGCAGCATGCTTGACTTTGGCAGAAGATACAAAGTTGGGGCGGATAGTTAACAGGTTAGATGAGAATCAGGCTCCAAAAATATTTGATAAACTAGAACAGAAGTCAATCTATATGCCCTGTGTGGCCCCCTGCCTGTTTTTGTGAGCTAAGAATGGTTTTTACATCTGTAAATAGTTTTATTGTATTTAAAATTTTTAAATCATCCTTAGCTCTGGGCTGGATTTGGTGAGTGGTTATAGTTTGCTGACCCATGTACTAGAACATTGGGCTGAATTTGATAAAATGAAATTTAAATAGTGATATATTTTAGATTAGGGTAAAAAAAAATCTTAGGTATAAAATCTGTGAGGTTTGGATAGACAAGGGGTGTTAGATTTGGGTCTGGCTGCTGATTGGCCGTTGGATAATCTGTGATTCCAACAATGACTAGGACCTCAAACAATGGAAGAAACTATTGAATTGCTAATCTCATAGCTAAACCATGCCTCTCTACACTGCCACTCACCCTGATCTTTGTGGGCAATCCTGGTTTGTTTAATAATCTGTATTTCTCTCAAAGATGCTAGGAGTATAGGTTGTGTTTCAGAGTGCACAATTTTGTTTGCTATTGTAACTTTTTCTGAATCCTGATTGGATTATTTTACATCTCTAACATTCTTACTTAACTAAAGCTACCTTTTAATTGTAGAGAAGAATCTGTCCAGAAATACACTGGGAAAAAGGATCCGGTGGAGGTCATGAAAGTTCTACATATGGAAAATGACAATTTCAAAAAACCTGCGGAACCACTGGACCCTCGTGCAGTCCTTGCACTAGAGTGGGGCCTCTTGGGCTCTTTAGTGCAAAAGAAATAAAGCCAGTGAAACTAGCACTTACAAGTTGGGCCCAACTCACCTGACATTTGGCAACACTACAGGTGGGAAGGACTCCTACAGTGGTACATTGCTTGTTTTAAATTAATTCTTTGGAGAGCTTTTCCTGGGCTTATTTTGGCTTACTGCTGCTAAGATTTTGGGGATGAATCTTCGATTTTCTTGGCAGATGGTTTCTTCCTGTAGTTGGCTAATCTGTGGTTTTAATCTGATTTAGTATTATTTCAAAGGGGAAAGAGCCCTGTAGCTGGAATCAGAAGACCTGGGTTTGAGGCCTGGCTCCATCCCCTACCTTGGGCAAGTCATTCTACTTCAGTTTCATCTGTAAAATTAGGGTACTGAATTAAATGCTCTCTGAAATCTCCTCTAGCCATAAATTTATTATTCTGTTGCTAATTTATCACTTTTCTTTCTTCCTCCCTTCCTTTTTTTTTTTTCTTGGAAGGGCAGCAGCCACTTATGGGTCCAATTCCAGTATTGAGGGGGGTATGGAAGCTTTAACCTACTGTTTTTTCCAACCTGGGCTGCTTTGCCCCTCCTTTGGCAGCCTGGTGGCCCTCTTCTTCTGAAAGCTCACCCTACTGGTGCCAGACTTAGCATACCTGATTGGCTTTAGCCCTGTCGTTCAGAACTTCTCAACTCAAATGTCACCCCAGCCTCAGGGACCACAGATGTGTACCATCACACTCAGCTGCAGCCACATTTTTTTCTAAAAGGTATTAAAATCTAGTTTTAATCATGGGCTATAACCTTTCCTTACATATCACTATTGCACCTGCATTGCCTATAATATGTAAAGAAAGTCTGTGGAAATAAAACCCATTTTGGAAAATGGAATATGGAAGCCAAGTTGATTTTAAAAAGCTGCTTAATAGCACTCTGAGAGCTCACAGCCATTTTCATGTTACTGTGCAGAACCTATTTTTAGGAATGGTGGTTTTTTTTCAAATAAAGCTTAGAAAAAGCTTTTTTTAATTTGAAGAAAATGTCAGAGGGAGGAACTTATCCTTTAGAAGTGTTGAGTGGCTTTCTCATAGCTAAAAAAAAAAAAGCACAAAACTGTATAGTAATTCAGTCATGGTTCAGCCTGACCTGCTGTATAGAAGCTACAATTTAGAGGACTTCACCTAACACATATTATAGTCAGAACCTTGACAATGAAACAAGAGACTCACAACAAGGAAATGGAAAAATGCCAGGGGCTGATTTTTAATATTGCTCATTAGTCAGTATGCAGATTTTAGAACATAATTACACATCAGGAAAAAAAGATGCTAATGACTATAGGAGTCATTGATACATCGTAAAAAATAAATACTATGTTTTACCTGAGAGCAGCACACAGATGAATTCTTAAGGCATCTGACTGGGTGAGATGCTTGACATATTGAACCTAAGAACCTGAATATGCCATTTGTTTTCATACCCAGGTGGTTTGCAGTTTTATCATTTGACTAAGAAAATGACTTTAATTCACTGTTCTATATCCTGACTGGTAAAACCAAGGAATTAGGGCTAGATTCTTGTCAAGACAACCTCAGTTTCGTCTGGTACTTTCGTTTTCCCCAATCCACAGACATCTTCAGGGAATGACTAAAGGCTCACATTTTGCTTTACATTAAGATCTGGGGTCAATCATCAAGCTAGTAATCTAGTTTTTAAAAAAATGATGCTAGCACCACTGAACTATTGGAACATCTCATAACACTGGTGTAAAAATAAGAGAGACAAACACCCAAAGAGATCAATGAAACCATCCTTGGGCTCTTAGATCTGATCCTGGTGACAGAGACTCAGGTCACATAATACATGGAAGCGTTTACAAAGTCACTTATATGAAGACTAGATTGAATAGGTGTTGGGGTGTGGTGGAGGCGGGGGAAGAGAGTCTAGAGTTTTTAACTTCCTTGGTTAAACTCCAGGGCACATAAAATGTCTGTCCCATCCAATTAGAAAGCCACCTTTTAACCTGGTTTCTATTTTTATCTGATGGCCCCTTTGCCTCAATATAGCCCTAATACTGGATCCAGGAGTAGTCTTGCAGTTTGTTTTTCTTAGTGAGCAGTTGGAATGATGGCTTTATTAGGATTTCTTCTGGTGGGGCCGAACTCAGTCAACTTCAGCAGCCTTTGATCTTCACAGCGTTATTACTCATTCAGCAGAAATTACATGCTGGACACACTGCTTCTCTACCACTTAATGTTAAATCCAGAGCTCATCTTCTCTACAGCATGATACTGTGTATGCAATGTTTTCCTAGCTTCTTTGGAGTTTTCCCCTTTAAGCCACTGTTCATATAATTCTTTAATTTCTGGACTTGTCTCAGGCATTACAGTCCTAACCATCTCATACAGCTTTTCAATTTGTTGGAGAAGGTCCTTACTGGATATAGCTTCTGCTTTGATCTGACCACCACCATTTAAACAACCTAAATGAAAAAGAAAGGCTCATGAATTTGGAACGAGATGTTCAACTTTAAAGACACTAGAAGAAGCAATTATAGCAACTGAAAAGGTATTCAGAACTACAAAGGTATGGGCTTGATGCTACAGGGTGAAATAAAGATGATATGGGGAGAAAGAAAGGAGAAATAAAGCACCAAAATTATCAAGGACTGATTTGGAACAGCCATTACTCTACTCCCTCACCTTATTTCCCCCACAAAAAGAACAAAATATGAAGAAAAGGCCTCAACTCTGTTCTGGGATTCTGGAAGGGTCAGGATAAACACCGTTGACTTATTTCAACACTCCGGCAGGTAGGATCAGCAGTACTTTGCTACTGCCCCCTCCTGGTCACTGTGAAAGGCACAGTTAAAATCAGATTCCACTATTCCCTCCCTAATCCTTACTCTAACCAAAGTTGATTTCTACAAATTTCTACATTTATCTAAGAAATCATTAGGTCTTGGAGGGGCCAGTACAGTTGCTATGCTAGCCAGAGGTAAAACTTAAATCTTTTACCTGATGGACAAGCCATGACTTCCACATAGTGATATGGAGACTTTCCTCTTTTGAGTTTCTGCACTAAGTTCTGAATGTTTCTAAATCCATATGCCAGTGCAAAGTGAAGTAGAATTGTACCATCTTTTTCTAGCGTCACTTCTTGGAAATCTTTGTTTCTGAGATGAAAAAGGAGAAAATATAAGAATGTAAGAAACTTTGTAATCAATTATGTTTACATACAGAACATTCCACCTTCTCTACAGACTGGGGAATAGGGAGTTGGCAGATTTATGAGGAAATTAGGCAATCTGTGGCTTTTCAAATAGGGCACAAACTCCCCAGGTTGGATCCTATAACGTTTATGCTCTATTCCCTTAGCAGATGTGGGATGACTAGAATTAGACTGTGCAGAAAATTGGACCCAGGAAGGAATGGCAACAAAGAAGAGTTGGTTGATGTAGAAAGATTAGCCCTGCTTTGTATCGAAGAAGAGGGTAACAAAGTAATTATCAAGAGTCCTCGCCCCTTAAACTGCAAAGAGAACCCCAAAGGAAAGGAAAGGAGGGGAGAGAAGCATGCCCCACAGGCTGATTTAAGTGAACAGTCAGAGGATGCCAATTTTGGTTGCCGTCTTTTCAAACTATCACCAAACTCCTGGGGAAAGCAGCCTATATTTATTGTCTCTACTTCATTTATTCTCACTCAGGTCTCAATCCCTTGCAGTTTGGCATCTCACCTCAGCACTGAACTGGAATTGCTTTCCCCAGTTACCAATCTCTTAACTGACAAATCTGAAGGCATCTTCTCAGTCCTTATCCTTCTTTTCTGCAGCATTTAATACTGTTGACCACCCTTTCTGGGACCTCTCTGGGGTTTTTGAGACACCGCTCTCTTTTGGTTCAGACAAGTGTCTGACCACATGATACACTCTGTCCCCCTACTTGTGGCTGTCCTTCAAGGTTCTGTCCTATTTTCTCTTTAATACTCTTGTTGACCTCATCAGTTGCTAAGGATTCATTTACCTCCATGTAGAAAACTCGAAAATTTACATATCTACCCCTGGTCTCTTTCCTGAACTTCAGTACTCTATCACTAACTGCTAGCTGGACATTTCAAACTGAATGTCCTCCATGCATCTTAATTCACAATTTCCAAAATAGCTCAAAAATCTTCTCCCTAAAACTCATCCATCTTCTGAATTTCCCTATCTGTTGAGAGCCCTATCAGTCGTCCAGTGACCCAGGTTCAGAACCTTGGGGTCATCTCTAATTCTTCACTCTTGCCTATTCTAAAAATACAATCAGTTGTCAAATCTTGGTAGTTCGACCTCCACAGCATCTCTCACCCCACCCCCTCCACTCACATAGTTACCATCTAGTTCAGGCCTTCATCACCTCTTGCCTCTCCCCCGCCTCTCCAATCCATCCTCCAGTAAGCTGCCAAAGTTATGCTTATTCGAGTGCAGGTCAGATTATGACGTTCCCCTAAGCCCCATTATTCAGTCGATTCCAGTGGTGCCCTCTTATATCTAGAATCAAATGCAAACTCATCCACTAGTCATGTTGAACCATTCACAACCTGGTTCCGGCCTATTTTTCCTATATTTTCCTTATTACACATTTTCAAAGTCTTTGGTTCAGTCAAACTGACCTCAGAATTTACTGTTTCCCACACAAAGCACCCACTCTCCTATCTCTGTAAAGCTGTCTTCCATGTCTGGAGTGAATTTCCTCCTCAATTCTAGCTCTTGGAATCTCTAGTTTCCTTCAAAGCTGAGTTAAAATGCCACCTCCTCCATGCAGCCTTTCCTAATTTCTCCCTGCTTCCTGCCTCTCCCCACTAAATCACCTTATATGTAGTTTGCATTCACTTGGGTGTGTATAAGCTGTACGTGTCTCCTATAGTTTTAGCTCTTTTGAGGACAGGTACCATTTGCATTTGTATTCCTGGATGCTAACACAGTGCAGGTGCTTGATAAATGCTTGTTAATTGACTTAACAGAGTCAGTTTTCCAAGTTCTCTTGTCTGCACAGTAGTTGAAAAGCCTTACTTCAAGGGTTTGTAGGTGATTCCATCCACTTGGATTCCAAAGAGTTCTTGGGCAGCATATCGGAATATGTGCTCTAAATAACCACCGGAACCACCTCCTTGGTGGCCGAGGAGCTCCTCTCCAGAAACAGAGTTAAACCTGGGGGAGAGAGGACACAAAAGATCATGGCCAGCTTGACGAGACACGTGTAGTCACAAGTCTGTGTGCTCATAGATGGGTAAGAATCTGTATTTGGGCAGAGAATCCATCTACTGGCAACAAGGAAAAGGTTTTTCTTGGTCGACCTGCTGCTTCACACCTTCCACGATGGCTTCAGTGGAAATAAATAGCTCTTAGGAGTCTGACAGCAGAATTATGCCCTGGGCTTCTGATCCTGCAGAATCTATGTGGGAGATCGGTGCAGTGCTTATGAAAAGTCCTAACCACGGGCTCATTTGCTGACAATGGAATTTCTGTCCTAGCAACAGTGAACATGTAGCATGAAAGACATTCATAAATGGCAAGAGTAAGTTTCTGGGGACATTCATTATAGGACACACCGTGGAAGCACAAAAGCTTTTTTGTGTCTAATGTACTGGGTGAACAAATATACTGTACTTTAATACTAAGATCTGGGAATGGCTCAGTCGGATCATTACCCATTTATCACATTACGCAGGGAGATAGGCATATGTGCACTGGTGCAAGAAATGAAGTGAGGCTTTCCCTTGGTTCATCATGTTACATTCAGGCCATTCAACTTCAGCAGCCCACTGGGGCCTATGGGGCAGGGCTCACTGCACACGGTGCTGCTGTGCTTGGGTACCAAATCAACAGCCCCATTTCCATATCAAATCATGCATGGATAGGTTTCCATGTACTCTGTCCCATTCTCCTATGGAATGAGATAAAAAAGTACAATTTGATTCAATGAGTCTGTGCTGATGGTGCCAAACCAAATGTTTTATTTTCTGACTCCCTAGTAATGACCAAGGTGCCTCTGATATTAGGATTTCTAAATGCTTGTGAAAATAAAGTTATTAAGGTTGGCCCCAGAAAAGAGTTCAGAAAATGAATCTCTTTCCCTTCTTTACACAGCTTGGGGATTATGGTTGTGGAATATTGCATATACTGTTAGACATGACTGAGGTGCTGGTTAGATTTGATGAATTGTTTTTTTTTTCTCTTTTTTATTCTTTGTCCCAAGGGATGGCTGACTGGATAGGGGGCATATTCAGAAATGAGGATGATATAAAGATAAAAGATACCAGTAAAATATTTTTAAAAAGTGGCCCACTGTATCAGGCAAGGAAAAATGAATTCAGACTTCATTGACTTTATTAATCCTATGAGCACCTTTAGGAGAATGCAAGCTGGTGAAAAATGGTTGTATTCTGGTAGTTTTGATGCTTATTTACAAAACTGAAAAAGTGCTTTAAGTGGTCATCCCATGTGTGAATTCATCACTTGACAGCAGCTGCCATTGGTAGAGTGCTACAAAGGTTTGCAAAGCACTGTCCTCATATCATTCTAAAATAGGCAGTGCAATACTTATCTCCATTTAACAGAAGAAGTAATTGAGGCTCAGAGAGGCTACGTGATTTTTCCAGGGTCACACAGTTGGTTTCAGTGCTGAGACTGAAGTCTTCTGGCTTTATCTATTTCCTCACTATTTACTAATTCCATGCTACCCCTCACAAGACTATCTTTAAGAAGGAAGAAAGCCTTGAAGTCACTTATAACTTGTTCCTTGTCCTTAAATCAGTTCCACAGTAACTTCAGAGCATATTAAGAACAAATTTTTGCTAAAGACATGCCAAACCAATTCCATGCTCCATAGCCACATGGATATAATTTCATTTCATTCATTTATAGGTATACTAGCCTCTATTTAGGTCTCAGGCTTACACAGCAGAAACAACAAATTCAATGTGGAATATAACAATGGATTTGTACAGGAGGTTAACTGGAAAGCTGTCGTTGTAGAACAGCTGTGCAGAAACCAAGGCTGCCCTTCTCCTTGGTCAGTGCTGAGGCTTCTGTGCCAGAAGCAAAAGCTGTGGTCTTCTACAGCTTAACATATTCGTTTAGGAAGAACTACGAAGGGCAGCATTTTGCCTGGGAATCTGCTTCAAAGCTATTTTTAACTCCCTTGCTCTTGTTTACAGGAACTGAGATTCATTAGTAAATGCTTCAGTGTGTTCAGTATCACGTCCTGCTGGTCTCCACCAGGACAGCTACCAGTAGTGACCTCATCAGGGAACCAAAGCAGACTCAGCTCTGATCACACCAGTAGTCGTGGTTCCGACACCAGTAGCCCAATACCCCAACCAAACTGAAGAGCCCTGTTCTCTCTTTCCATGTGTGAAAATAATCCCAAGTAGAAGCAGGCATTGGGCTGTTTGGATTTGTGCTACAGCTATACTAGAAGATGTGTCTCAAGGCTTAAGAAAGTTAAGAGGCCAAAGTGAAAGGAGAATGGTCACTGCCTTAAGGTAAAATCAAGTCAGTTCCTCTGAGTAACTTTACCTGAGTAGCCTTATACTGCCAAAAGATTTGAAGCCAGGAAGCGGACACTCCGGGATCCCTACACCACAAAGCTTGTCACCTCCTTAGAGTAAAAGAGATGACCAATGCAGAAGTCACAATTGTGTCCCGAGCACTCCATTATCCACCATGGTGCCTCTGGCCCAGGAGATCTTTGGCTGAGCTAAGTGACAGCTGGGCTTGGAACAGGATGTGTGTCAACATCTGCACGTTTTCCTGGGCTCCAAAGTCAAACACAACTGATATGCCTGGCGCTTATTGTGGTTAGAGCTTAAGAAATGCTTCTGGTTGACCAGTTTGGGGGTTATTTGTAGTTTAATATTAGCCATGACTTCAGTGGATCTGTGTCCTCATGTGGGTGCTCAACGCAGTGGTGGAGATTACAGCCCATTCGTGCCTGCTCATCCTGTGGACACCCTTCTCCGTGTGATCCCCTAAACCCACAGTGCAATCCCTGGACCCGCCCACTCTGGTGGGGCCTCGTATAGATTCTCTACCGGGGCATGGGCACTGATGGGGGTAGCTCCCCTGGAGAGGCTGCTCACCCCTTGCTCTTTCTTTGTGGCTGGTCAATCTTTTTCTCTCCGATAACATCTTTTATGCTGCTTCTCCCAAACAATTCTTCATTTTAAATGAACTGTGTCCTACATATGTTCACCATGAGCCTCCCCCTTGTACTCTGGGTGATCCTCAACTTTAATTCTTTGGAGGTGTTGCAGCCCTACAGCATCCCCTGAAGAATATTAATGTTAAGAGGATGAGCCTCTGTTTCAGTTTGGAGTCATTAGAAGTACTGAGCAACTAATTCTTAAAAGCAAAGCAACTCTTCCTTTTCCCCCCTGGACTAAGCAGTCTATCTGCAGTATCTGTTCAAGGCGTATGTATTAATTAATCAGCTTTATCTGCAAATCGAAGTTTGGACAACAGACATTCTTTACCTAACTGTATTCTTCTGTGTGATTAGGTGGAATGCTTTTGAATGATCGTGGATCTCATTTAAAAGGCTTAATGAAAATGCACAATGTTATCCATACACAGACATAGCTAGAGGACCTCACCATCTGTAGGGAATTCTCATTTGGACTCTAGACTAGAATCCTTAAATGACAGCAACAAATATAGTTGGCAAGCATATCATTCTATTTTATGCTTTGCGTGATATTCATAAGGGTTGAACAAAGTTATCTTTGTTGTTACATCTTTCAGGGAATCTTATATGATTTTGATATAAATGGAATATACCTTACTGGAGGAAAACCTTCAAGGTAGTGTTTTGCTCTACCAAGTCAATTTTTTTATAGTCAACAATAAATACAGTGAGATCTTGTATTCTCTCAACTTTCACTCAACTCTATGACTATAAGTATGTGGCTTCTTGTAAAATATTGTGAAAGCTTTCGGATCCCCCCAAAAAACCTTCATCAAGTATGCCCTCAATGCATTCTCATAAAAATTTTATTGACATGGCAATATAAAGTCAGCATATAGACTGGTAGTTATTGATAATCTTTTGGTTGCCCTTTAAAAAATATAACAAGGAGTAAGATTTTTTTTTCCCAAGAGTTTGTTATTTTTCCCCTTTTCATAATTTGAGAATCAACCCTAATGTCCTCAAAATTGCCTCATTTCCACCATGGACCTCCTCTGTACATACTTGGTCCAATCCAAGAGCTCTTAGTGTTTTAAAATTTTATTCTAACATGTCAATAGTCTGACTATATCAGACTGACTAATATAACTAAACTGACTCATCATGGACAGTTGATTTAGGAACAACCTCCATGTGAATACTGAGTTGTTTTTTATACATCAAGGCAAAATTGGTTTCATATTTTTTATAATGTGATTTGGTGCTCACCACATCTAGTGTCTTCTCAGTCCACTCATTAAGAAAGCATCCATGATACAGATGTGAGGCTTCTGTGTGGTCCTTGAACTTTTATTTCTACTTCTGCTCTATATTTTCCAATATGTTTTCTGCCATCCTCACCTATGCTCATCTTTGTATTGAAATCACCAAGAATCAACTGTATAGGGATCTAGTCCTAGTTTTGCCACTAGCTATGTGACATTTAGTAATCAAGTTAATACAGATTTAACTTGGAGTCTTATCATCAAATTCTTTATAGAATTTCTTTACCTCGGGGCAGCTAGGTGGCGCAGTGGTTTGAGTACCAGCCCTGGATTCAGATGGACCTGAGTTCAAATCTGGCCTCAGACACATAACACTTACTAGCTGTGTGACCCTGGGCAAGTCACTTAACCCCACTGCCTAGCCCCCCCCCCCCCAAATTTATCTACCTCCTCACATGGCAGATCTTGGCCCACAGGTTGCAATGATTTTTATGGCATTTTTTTTTTTTTTTGCAAATACTTACAAGGACTATACTATGAAATGACCCAGTACTCCCTGAAATATTTCTCTTTATTTGAATCTTGAAAGAGAACTTATGAGCCATCTTCCCATTTAGCTGCAATTTCCTTTTGTCTTGTTTCATTTACAATGGGAATCATATTCAGATGGGTAAGATTTAGTCCTTCCAGTAGTAGGTTGGCTTGTTGGTCACTGGTTATAAGCCTCACATTCAGGTAACTGTTCGGGTCAGACTTAAGTGTGATCCTTAGCATCCTCTGCTCTCTTTCTGACACTGTACTCCTACTGTCTTTGCAGAAGTGGAAGGCACTAGTGAGGGAGCTGTACCTGGATAACTGGCTCTTTTGTTTTTTCCTTTGTTTCCTGGGTTGTCATAGAGAATTCATCACCAAGTGGCCAATCTACTAGTGATCAAGCTGGTTCTAAGGAAGGGGATGCTCTCTGCTGCTGGAAGGTTACCTGAAGCCTTCCATTACTCTGCTGCTACAGCCTTTGAAAACCCAGGGTCATCCCTAAACCACAATGAAGCACTGATACTATCTGTATATAACAGAAGCTCACATTTCCATAGTGTTTCATTACAATTACAGAGTGCTTTCCTCACAACAACCTTGGGAGATAACTATTATTACTTAACATTTATACAGAACTTCACGAGTTAAAAAGTACTTTACATATATATCATATTATTTGATCCTCACAATAATCCTGTGGGAAATGCAGAAAAACCGGTAATATTCCCAACTTTACAGACGAGGAAACCAAGATTCATTGGTGAAGTGACTTGCTAAAGGGCACAAGGCCAATAGATATTAGAGAGGGGATCTGAACCCAAGTCTTCTGGACTCTTAATTCCACAAGTCTTTCCTCTAATACAATGAAAAAATAAGCGACTATGAGGCCCAAGAACCCTCATTGCCCCCCCCCTCAAAAAAAGAAAAAATGTAATTGGGCTCTCACATTAATAGTTTGTAGATTTTTTTTGATTATGGAAATATCCAGGCTGGTTATTTCCCTTAAATACCAAGTCAAAGCCCTGCCTCCCACTTCATGTTGATAAAGTTTTAAATGACAAAAACAGGTGTGAGTCTTAGTGATTCAGGCTAAAATGCTATCTCTTGGGTAGAATTCTGCAAGCCCAAGAATACCTCAATAAAAATGTTTCACAAGCCCAAGGATACCTCAATAAAAATGTTTCAAAACAGGTTATCCTGTGCTACTTTTCTTTCTCCTTAAAAAGGAATCCACATTGATAAAAGGTTTAAAAAACCCCAACAAACCCACAATTAGTTCTGAGTGGTGCAGCTAAATTGAAGTCCATTTTATAAGCCCTGAGCTTAGCAGGTCAGAGAGGGAACAGAAGGAGCCTTCAAGGTCATCAAGCAAAACCTGTGTCCTCATACATATGGGGAAACTGAGGCCCAGGGAGGAGACTGAAGGTCAAAAACTTGGTGGCAGAGGCAGGAAGAGAATCCAGGTCTCTGGACCCCAAGTCTAGACCTTTCCCCCACTAGGCAGCTCTGCTGTGCTGCATCTGCATGCCTATGGACACAGACAGGAGTCCAAATTCAACTTTGTCTGTGGTCCCATGCTATCTAGTATTACTGATTAAATGGGAGGCAAGGCTACAAAGCCATTTTCTGTGCACTTAAAAAGAAATGGGCTTAGTCGAACGTGGTACATTTACAGCTGATACTAATTTAGAGCAGCAAAACATGTAATTTAGAAGTTATTCAAAGTCTTTTGAGCCCCATCTCTATTTGTATGGATGGCGTCGAGCCAATGGTACTGCTTTTCACTTTAAGCATTTGAATCACTGCTCATCTGTTTTTCACATTTGAGAGCTCCTGCTTTTGCTAAATTGAAAACAAATGATATACACAAAGGGGCAGGCTGAAAACGACCCCAGATGACTTTATCAGTGTATTTAGGATTCCAATACACTCAGGAAATGACTGACTAAATGGAATGGCCAGGGAAGGGAAAAGGATCATGTTATTTATCACTGCATGGCCTGTTCCAGGGAAGTAAGCATTTGGATAAAAAAAGGGACATTCAAAAGTAGACTCACATTTCCTGTAACTTTTCCCTCATCAGGTAATGGGCCTGGGGTCAATTAAATTTACCTTATAGAGAGATACTGAGGAAAACAGAAGATGTTGTATAGAAATAAAAGACAAGAAGGGCACTAAAGCCAGGGGACTCTATTTTGCATGCCCAGGACAGGGAATCAGTTAATCAAAAGCATTTACTCAGTGCTTGTTATATGCCAGGGCCCCGTGTTAAGTGCATGGGCTACAAGTACATAGAATGAAACAATCCCTATTTCAAAGGGACTTAGATTTTATGGCAGCAAATGCCTATTGGTCAGTTAGAAAGCACCATGTAGTGGAAAGAAAACTGGCCCTGAATCGGGAGAAGTGGGTTCCAGGTCTGGTTTTGCCACTATCTAGCTGAATGACCTTGAATAAGTCATTTGCCTCTGTCAGATAAAGGGGCTGCACTTCATGTTGCCCTCAGATCCTTTCTAATCCTAGCATTCTATGAAGCCATGAAGCAGTCAAAGACTGGCCAGGGCCAAAACTGACTTCAACTTCTGATTTGATTAGCTTTAGACCATTAGCCACCCTAGACACATGCCAAAATAAAGTTCCTTATTTCTTTTTTTTTTTTTTTTAAGGCAATTGGGGTTAAGTGACTTGCCCAGGATCACAGAGCTAGTTAAGTGTCAAGTGTTTGGTCTGAGGCCAGATTTGAACTCAGGTCCTCCTGACTTCAGGGCCGGTGCTCTATCCACTGTGCCACCTAGCTGCCCCTAAAGTTCCTTATTTCTAATGTGCCATAACAGCTCCTAGAGTCCAACATTCTGACAGTGAGTAAGAGCACTCAGTGATGTTTCTGATGCTTGCTCTGTTCTCCTCCAGCAGACATGATGAAGCCACTTTAGTAAATGAGCAACAAAAATACTTGTGCTTACTCAGCATCCAGAGGGGCTGGATCCACATCTGACAAAGAGATTCCCTCTTGTTCCAGCAACCTTAATATTTCCCCTAGAACAGAACCACAACATAGATTCTTTTTTCACTTGGCATGTCAATTAAAATTCTGAGTCATCTAGTTGAAATAAATTTCACAAAAGACATTCAAAAACAAACAACAACTGTTAGGGCTTGAGAGAATGGGGGAATACAGGCACATTGTACGAGCCTGACATAATTAAAAGGACTGAAAAGCCTAGGCTGAGTAATGACATGAGCTCACTAAAGATGCCTACACATTCTTATGGACTAGTTCCTACAAGAAACCAGAGCTGGGACCCTAAGGAGTCATTAAGTCCTCTCTCTGCTAAACTAGTCCGATGTGACTCTATCCAACTTTAAAGTCTTCCAGAAGAGATCCACAGCTACCCATGTAACTCAATACTTCAGTTAACAAATCCAAAGACATTTTTCCTAACACCATTACTGACACCCCTACCTCCATCATTATAGAAAAAACTGTGAGGTTCGGCCTATGCCTAGGCCTATGTCCCCTTCCAGATGCAGTAGAAGTCAATTTCTTCCTGTTTTGTTCTCAGTGGAAATTGAGAACAGCTGATCAAGAATGACTGCTATATTAGCACCAAGCAGAAAAGAAGCTCCTTGACACAGAAGCCATTTTTATTTTTGTCTTTGTATCCCCAGCACTGGGCCTGGTATACACTTAATAAATGCTTGTTGAGGAAATGGCTGGATAATGAAGACTGATTTAGTTTTCTGCCTTCTAGGATAACACCCTAGATTATTTAACCTTCCCCCACTTTCTACCCTTTTAGGGATTCCTGGAATCCTCTCCAACTTTTTCTCATTTTCCTGCAGTCCAGATATGGACATGCCATCTAAGTGTTTGCAAGGGTTGAGTTGGGAGGGGGATGTTCCAATATGTTTTGAGTACTGTGCTTGCTGTTTGTCACACAGCACAGCATGGCTGATTCCTGTTCAGCTTGTGACATAACCTTTTTCTGTTATTAATTCTCCTCAAAATGGAATGCTTTGAACACTATTCCAGATGTGTGGTGAGGCAAAAGCCAGGGCTTTCCCTGCTCCAAAAGAGTGAACAAAGGCTTCCAGTTAAGCTCAAACTGTTCAGTTGCTAAGTTCTTGAGAAACCTGGAAGTCCCCCAAATTCAGAGTTCAACTCTTAGGGAAAAGGACCAATAGTGGTACTTCACATTCCACATAAGTATGACATGAATAAGAAATTAATGGGAAAACTAAGTTATAGCGAGATTCCACTCAAAAGTAATAAGGTAGCATTGTTTTCCTATTATGTCATGGGAAAGTAGTGCTGAGAAAGGCTGGGCACCGAAGAGATGCTGTTAGTCTAGCAACTAATATGAAACAACTGCAAAGTCCTATGAAAATATTAGGTCTCAGAGAAGTGCTAAGCATATTATAATAATGTTACCCATACCTGTGGTAATTACACAGTCTACGTCTCTAGTTTGGTACTCTTGGTTGAAAAAGTCTGGTCTTGATGCTTCTAACTTTTTGTCATAGCAGGGCATCACTGTTACATGGTAGATCTTGTCAGGGGTTAAATGCTACATTAAAAAATATGGAAAACATGGAATTGCTGCACTGATTACTATTCATAAAAATAAACTCACTACTAAACAAAAACAACTCACAGTCCTATGGTGCTTTATGATTTATAGGGCACCTTCCAGCGGCAAAGCTGGGATGTAAGCCCATGTTGTCTGAGTCCTAGCCTAGCATTCTTATGAATGCATGATATTGCTTCTCAAATATACTGAATAAGAGGGATTAGACACATGTTATCAAGAGAGACAAAAATACAACATACCCACCAACTTCTTGGAGGGCCAGGAAATAACTGATAGTCAAGGCCATTTGAAAGAGAGCTTTGCCAAATATTTTTTGTCTCTGTCAGTGTTTTTTTTTTTTAAATGCATGCAGATGTCTTGAGTTAAATTTAGTAGAAGAAAATGAAACCATTCACAGATATTAAATCATTCACAGATAGTAAATCATGGAATTTGTAGTGCTTTCACATGTTCCCTAACAAAATCAAGTTTAAATAAGAGAAAAAAAACCCACAGGACATCTATATAGCTAAGGGGGAACTGCAGAGGTCAAACAGGAAAAGAAAAATCACACTGGAAAAAAATTAATGAGCTTGGAGAGAAAAATCCATTCTTTTTTTAAAGGAAAAACAAAATAGCCTTTAGGTAAAATAATTAAGTTGAATTACATGGAATTTTCATCTATCCCCAAAGGCTTTACAGAGTATGATACAAAGTATCTGGCACATTCCAGTTAGAATAAATGCCCTTTTTCTATAGAATCATAGACTGCTTAGAGCTGGAAGGGGCCTTAGTGATCAAGTCTCCCATTTTATGGATGAGGGTCAATGGTGAAGTGATTTGTACAGTCACATGGCTAGTAAGTGGAATGGCAGAGCTGGGACTTAATCTCAGATCTGCTGCCTCTTAATCCAGTGTTTTTTCCATTATGCCATACTGGCTTTTCCCCCTTAGCTTTATCCCGCTCTCTCTAGGAAGTGTGAGGGCATCTGTAAGTCCAGCCTATATTTTGGAAATGGGGTCCTTTATTAGATTAGTTTTGATTGCTCAATGGAAACCAACACGTAATAGTTATAACTTATTAAGAAGTTTGATAGAGAAAAGTATATAGTACTAATACTCACATAACGTTAAGAGGCCTAGAAAAAATGCGTGAGCTGAAGATAAATGGGGGGACATGGAGCAGAAAAGTATGAATGGGTTTTGATCTGCAACATGGGAGAGAGTACTCACATCAACAGTCTCACAATTCCACTGAAGTACACTTCAGAAGAACTGGCATTCTGTCAATGTAGACTTCTTCCACCAGGAGATAGCCTTCATGAGATGCCACAACCAAAAAATATCCACATGGTGGTCAACTCTCTGGCATGAAGTCTCTTTAAACTTGGTTGGGCTGGTCAGCAGACACATAGTCTGCCACCAAGCCCACACTCTGGCTATCTTGTTACTCCTAAAAAGTGACCAAGTAGTGAAAGGATCTAAGATAGAGCTCTGTCAACAGTCAGCTTCATATGGACAAGAGACATATTACCTGCTGTTGTGCAAAGTGATCCTTGACTAGGCTGCCCATGATCTGTTGGGGAGATTTAGTTGTACTAATGTAAGGAATAATAAAACTTCCATGGGTTTTCTCAGCATAACAGATCCAACCTGAAAACCACCATGAGATACAGTTAGTGCACAGATCTGATAACTTCAAAAAGTCTAGCCACCCACTCCCTAAACAAGGTTAAGATTTCAGGTACTTTTGCTGCCAAATGTCTATGAAGCAGGTTTGCAAATGACATGACATTTGGGGGAGGATTAGCTGCTAAAGAAAGTCTTGACAGGAAAAAAACATGTATATGATGACATTAGAGAACTTTCCTATTTTTATCTCTATTATCTTTATTAATAGTAGTTCAAATCACATGACATCACATCAACCCTGGTTTCATGAGAACTGAAAGACTAGGAAATCAATTTCAAGAACCAAGAAAACTTCCTGGCTTCTAGAATCAATTCCTGTGGGTTTAGGAAGAATAAATTTTATGTTGATGCCATGAACCAGCTTTTTTATATCACTATATTTTCTACCTAAGAATGACTCTCCTTCTGCTTATTTAGATTGACTGATGACCTGTCAGGCTTTATTTTAATATTCAGAGGCCAATAAAAACCTGTATTCTTCAGGCACACCTGGGCAGGCAGAGGCCAACATGGGCAAGGCTTGTTTGGATTCTGTGTGTCTTCGAAATCGCTGTACAAACTCTCGCTGGCTTTCCAAGAGGCTAAAATTTCTTGAGAAAGTTGTGTCAAACACATAGTGCACTCCTGCAAAATGAGTATCTCATTGAGAAACAAGGAAGAAAGCTTAAAAAAACAAAAAACAAAAACATGCAATCATGAGTCTGCCTAACTACTTTGTATTTAAACTGTATGTTACTTGACTGTATCAAAATGACCAATTTACCTCAGTTTCAGTAAATGCACCAAGCAAGAATTGAGGCTGAATCTGGACTCTCAATTGACTTTGCCTGAGTAGGGAATGATACTGCTGATTATGCCACAAAAATAACAGTGATCTCAAGTCCTGGTAATGTTACTGCTCAGCTTTTTCTATATTGGCCAAAAAAAAGAATATTATCTGCAAAAGTGCCCCAAAGACTACCCATTGTGTCTGCGCATGAAGCATTTTTACAAGAAGCACTGTTCCCTTTGTCAGAATGCTAACAGCTCCAAATTGGACTCTGGTCACAAGAGGAGCAGGTAAAAGGAAGTGTGGTTAGCTCAGGGCAAGGCCATTTAGAAGGGCTGTCTCATCTGACAAATGGGATGAAAAGAACTGCAGATGTTTAGTCTGAATTAGATTTAGAATACTTCAGACTTGTCAACATGTAAGTATTATTAGGTTTATTCTGTTAGGCCTGCAGGATAAAGGTAGAAGTTATAGGGATGTACTCTCTAAGGATGGAATGCACTATTGTGGGCACCCCTTCACCAAAGGTTTTTAGGCGTTAAGTGGCTGCATCATCATTCATTCGGAGAAGGAAGGGATTCCGAGTATAGGAGGAATTGGATTAGATGACCTCTGAGGTTGGTCATCTTCTATACCTAACTCCATGGTTCTGGGATCTTGAGCCCAATATGGTCTATGTAGTCGGCTGACAGAGGATTGTCACTGTATAGGAAAGGCAGTGCTTCCACTCCCCAGTTAGAGGCAGCATAGCACAGTGGAGAAAGCACAGCCTTAAAAGGCCTGGGTCCAAACCCTGCCACAGAGACTTACTGTGTGACTAACTGTGGCTAAGTTATTTAAACTTCTCGATCTGTAAAATGGTGAGAGTAATGGCTGTACTACCCACCTTATGGTGCTATATTGTATGGAGGACACTTTCAATGCTATATAAACATGAGTGACGGTTAGCAAAGTTTATGGGACAGTCAAATGATGTTAAACCTAATTTCCCCTCTCTAGTCCAAGTGTCAAAAATCTCTGAATTCCCTGGATGACAGTTCAACATGATACTGATCTGTGTAAGGACAACAAAAACAATGTTCTCTGGATGATTGCTGACACCCTCCTGATGCCTCAAGCTTATGGTGGTGATCAGGGTGCTCAAGGCCATGGCCTTCGGAGCACAGATTCTGGCCAGTACCGGATAGACAACCATCAGGCTGGAACTGTGTTGAGAGTGGACTCAGTGACAAACTGGGCCTGTGGCCTGAGGTCTGGCTTTACCTTCTACCAGAAGCCAGACCACCAGAGGCTGATGAAGATGATGACTATTTGCACAGTAACTCCTGACAGTGATTTAATAAGGTCCAGAGGGGTATGATTTATCTTGTACATCACTGAAATCCCAGTTCACTTAAATACTGAAGAAGTGGCTGAATGACGTAATTAAAAGAGCATTATAGTCAAAAGATGTGGGTCCCAGCCCTGGCCTTGACACTGAGGCTGATGCAGGGTGATGGGGGAGCAAGTCTCTTCATCTCTTTAAACTCTGGTTTCCTCACTTGAAAAATGTGGATAATACTATGATATTACCTATACCTTTGAGAGCAGAGTAAAGCTCTTTATAAATCAGAAAGCATTAGGCAAATGTGTAATATTATCAACAGTAAAAATAAATTAGTTCTAAACTTTGGAGGGACCAAAGTCAGAATTTTAAACTGTTTTGCCTTAAAATGCTCTGTCCTTGATCTTCAAAACTAAAACTCTGACTTGAAGTCAAACATAGTATAAATGGTTGAAGTTTCAAAAAAAATGACTTAAGATTTCAGTCAAGCAAAATGTCAGTGACTAATAGGCAGGAGAGTACTTCACTTCCCACTTTGATAGTTTGAGGACACCCCCTCATCCAAGGGCAACTGGAACAAGAGGCCCCTTTCCCACCTCTATTTTTAAAGAATGCAGTTAATTTTTTGGCGGTATCTAGAGGCGTCAGTTGAAATCTTGCTGCTAGTGATGCTCTCGACTGTGGTGAAACAGAAATGACAACTAGCCTTTGCTGGCTTGGCTCTGCGGTCTGGAAAACAAAAAGTGGAAAATTAACCATAACTTCACAAGATAAGACAGTGACTATGCTGAAGGAGTCCACACACGTCCTTGGCTCTGGGTCAGATTCTCATCAGTTCCACACATAAATGGGACATCAAATTCAGTTCCTTTAGTTGATCATATCCAAAGAAGCTACAAATAATATTCTACAGGGGCTTTTCTGAATTCAGACACAAGCACCATTTTAGGGCTGCAGCATAAATTACTTCACATTAGAAAATTCATGAAGATTCCACTTAGGAAATGTTAAAAAGGAAGGCAGCTCCTGAAGACTGTTTTGATTCTAGGTTTCTTATGAAAACCGTATGGAATGTTGAAAACACAGTGTCAGCAGGTAAACTACACTTTTGAATTCTACACCATGGCATCTGATGAAGATATACATTTCAGAAGTTTGCTACCACATACTTTGTTAAAATTTAAAACCTTGTACAGCTCTTCATGGCTCTGCTGGGTGATTAAGACACTTTCTGCTGAAGTAATGCAGCCACTGCAGGCTAAGCAGTCATTCAGAGAGATTTTAGCTTTTTCAAGCTTCTGAGAGCCTCCATCCTAGGGACAATCAAAGAAAAACACTTCATAAACAACTGACAAGTGATGTAATTATTTCATTGTAAAGATGACATAAAAATAATTACCTTTAAAAAGCTAACAAAGTCTTTATGTTCTAATCTTACGGTGTTAGATAATTCTCTATAAAAGTAATAACAGCATTTATATAGTGCTTCATGATTTGCAAAGTGCTTTACATATTATCTTGTTTGAGCCTAAGAACACGTATGAAGTAGGTGCTATGAAATAGGATGAGAGGTTAAGTGACTTTCCCAGGGTCACATAGCTAATAATCCTCTAAGACAGGATTTGAACTCCAGGCTTCCAGATTCCAAGTTAGGCACTTTATTCCCTATGACGCCTATTTGCTTCCAGTATTTGGATCTGAATGCCAGGGCCTCCATGTGCCAGGTACTGTGCTAAGCACTGGGGATATAGGTAGGAGCAAGGAAGATGGTCCCTGCCATCAAGAAGCTTGCATTCTAACAGGGGAACACAACAGTGTATATACAGCACATACATATACCCAAGATGTTTTTTGGACTGATGCCATTGCATGAAGGAGGGAAAACAAGTCCTACCTGTGTGACCGTGTATAGTTTACCCCAGCCTCTCAGTTCCCTAATGTATACACTACCTACCTCACAAAGTTGTTAGGAGGAAAGTACTTTGTGAACCATAAAAAACTACAGAGAAGTGTTACTACTACTACCATTGCAGCAAAACCAAACCCCACTGTGATGTTAAATCGAACTCTTGTTTGCCTGATCAACTGTTAAGCACTTAACTGCCTATTGACAAGTGTTAGGTGCTGGGAATGAAAAAACAAAGATGAGATGGTCCCAGCCCTCAAGGAACTCACAAGCTAATGAAGGAGACAAAACCCACATGGTGTAGCTATGTACAATACACATACAAAGCAGATACCTTAGGGAAGACAGCAAGAATACTAAGCAGGGGGTAAACAGCCATCAAGCCAGTTCTTCATAATGTCTGAATGTCTGTCAGATTATCCTGCCATTTCTAACACTTCCTGTGGAACCAACTACCCACACACTAAAAGGCTGTTTTTCCCAGGAACCAATGAATGACTTTAGGTGGGACCTACTTATACCCAGAAGCTGCATGTTTATGGAAAACAGTACATTCAACATTCCTAAATTTCAAGTTCTAACACTTCATAAAAACTCATTTGGAAATAGTGGAAAAAGACAAACATTCAGATTTCCTGCAGCTGCTCTTGGATTAAATGAAACAGAATGAACTCCAAGGGGGAAATAAAAAAAGGAACAGTGAAATGAAGGGGAAGAGCAGCTGTAACCTTAAGTTTAAGTTCACTCCACAATGGGTACTGTGGTACAGTAGCCAGAGAGCTAGCTATGAATCAGGAAGGCCTGGGTTCAAGTCTCACCTTTGACACATATGGGCCTTGTGGTCCTGGGCAAGTGCCTTTTAGGGCTCCAACTCAGCTCTGACTGTTGTTACCCAACCTCTTAGTGTCCCAGGTGATTCTCTAGAAATGGCAAAGCAGATGATACCTGTACTAGAAGAGGGAGTTTCCTCCTCAAGAGTTCCTTATACTAATTAATCTTGGGTCTGAAGAGAGAAAAATAGGTACGGATCAATTTCTCACTTGATGAAAGTGAGGGCTTGGTTTCTATAATGATGAGAAAGGGAAAAGAATGGCCCAGGGAAAGCCAAGTAAGAAAATGGCAAAGGAAAGGGTCAAAGGAACAATAATGACACTCCTTTAGTCTGGCATTGCCCTTAAGGGTACCAAGTGCTTTAACTGTTATCTGATCCCCAAACTCTGAAGCAGGCAACACAAGGGTCATTATCTCCATTTTATAGAGGTGGAAATAGAGGCCTCGTTAGGCTCTAACTCAGCTCGGATTCCCAGTCCAGTGCTCTTGGTACTATAATTACTTTGCGTTTCATAATCCAGAGCTCTGAAGAGGGATAGGGAAAGGAGTTGAAGGGAGAAAAAGACTAAGAACAGCAGAGACAGAAAAGCAAGTAACAATTCCTTTATGAGTTTTCTGTGATATCTATAAGTCATGTTTCTCATAATCATCCTTTGAGGGAGGTAGTGTATTATGACGTTCATTTTTACAGATGAGGAAACTGAGGCTCAGAGATAACAACTGACTTGCCCTAAGTGACGGGGCTAGGATTTCAATTCAAGCATTTTGATTCAAAGTCTCTCTATTGCACCATCTGGCTTCTCTGAATAATATAGGAACTTCTGGTTTGCCTGGCTTTGTAAACAGCACAGTACCTTTGTGAAAGGCTTCACTGGATCAGGGTTACAGATCTGACCAACAAGGATATCGAGGTCCCTTAGGGGTCTATACTGTGGCAGAGCTGAGAGCTTTCATAATAGCTACACTTCTAGCTATCTGGAAATTAGCAATCCAGACTTTTCTCTTTAAACTTTACCGAAGAGAAACCTAAATACTTCTTCATAAAGAAACACATTAGTCCAGTGTTAAATTCTGGACTTCCAAGCCCCACTTTTGGTAGGGATTGTTTTATGTTTTGCTAGATGAAAAATAACAGGTCTTTATGCCTGTCTTTAGAAATGCAGGAGCTGGCAGGGATCAGGTGATCTGTGAAGAGTCTTTTCTGACATTTTTGCTCCTTTCCCAGAATTTAACATGATGTCACAGTGTTTACTCTGAGGAATAGAGAAGGAAACCTAAAACATTCACCCTTGGGGCCTTTACTATACACAACTAAAAGGTCCTTACATAGCACCAAATAAACCACACAATATAACCATACATATAGCAAACATTGTTGTTTAGATAGCCAAGGCCCAGCTGCCTTCAATTAGGAGCCATGGACTCCTGGAAGAGAAGCCCTGGGGAGGCTGGCTATATCTAATGCACAAATCTTCTGCTGCTTAAATTCTGTCAAGTGAGCTTGCCAAGCAAGTCAAGTCCGAGCTGTCCTGGCAGTCTATTCTCATTACTTAAGGTGCAAGCACAGTCTGACTTCCTCCTGAATCCTCTATTTCAGGTTCTTAAAGTGTGGTCTGAGGACCCCGGGAGTCTCCAAGACCTTTATAGGGGGTTTCAAAGGTCAAAATTATTTTCATAATTAATAAAGATGATGTAATTTCAAATATGGTAAATATCAACAGATATAACACACATCAACAAAACTGTAAAGGAGTACTGTACCAAAATATTTGCGAACTGCTACTAAAAAAAATCACTTCTACTCTTCTCCAGTCACATTCCAACCCAGTTCTTCTTCCACTTACTCTGTTATCTCACGGTCCTTTGTAACCCCTGTTCTATTGTTAATATGTTCCCAAGCATACTGGGATTTTATTTATTTATTTATTTTTTGAAGTAATAAATGCTTTATTTACTGCAACAAAATATTAGCAACAAAATGAAAAGGCAATTCATGTAGCTGTATTGGTAGCAAAAGACAGAAGATAGTTTACTTTAAGAGACTAACAATTAGCAATTTTTAAAAAATGCCTCAGTCATACAAACTACCATAGTCTTGGATACCACAGGGGCAAAAAAGGTAAAGTAAATAACGTGATTTTTCATGTTAATCCAACACGTTGGGCCTGCCTGAAGCACTAGTGAGCTTGACACTGAGAATACATATCTGAAGTAGAGATATTCAATTTCTTCCTCTTAGCACAGTCTCCTAAGCTCTCTTCTAGTACAAGACATTTCACAACACTTAAATGCTACTACTTTGAACTTGCCCATCCCTATCCAGGGAGCTGACTCCCTTATGAGGTCATACAGTCCCAAATGACTTCATTTGATTTCATTTTTGTTTTTTTTCAATAACTTCCTTGAAGTCATCAGAACCTATCATGATCTCTTCCATTGTGGGGGTGGAGTCTTCAGTGTGACCATATAAATTAAGTATATTCTTCAAATCCCGGCCTGGTTTCAACAGAGGAATCTGCCCCTCCTACTAACCAGGAATGACCTCTGGATCTAACTTTCCATTGTCCACATCTCTTCATGTTCCATTCGAGTCTTGTATTTGAAAATCAAATTTTCTATTCAACTCTGGTCTTTTCATCAAGAATGTTTGAAAGTCCTCTATTTCACTGAATGACCATTTTTTTCCCCTGCAGGATTATACTCAGTTTTGCTTGGTAGGTGATTCTTGGTCATAATCCTATCTCCTTTGCCCTCTGGAATATTATATTCCATGCCCTGCGGTCCCTTAATGTAGAAGCAGTTAAATCTTGTGTTATCCTGATTGTGTTTCCACAATACCTGAATTGTTTCTTTCTGGCTGCTTGTAATATTTTCTCCTTGACCTGGGAACTGTGGAATTGGCTACAATATTCCTAGGAGTTTTCCTTTGGGGATCTCTTTCAGGAGGAGATCAGTGGATTCTTTCAATTTCTATTTTGCCCTCTGGTTCTAAAATATCAGGACAGTTTTCCTTGATAATTTCTTGAAAGATGATGTCTAGGCTCTTTTTTTGATCATGGCTTTCAGATAGTCCAATAATTTTTAAATTCTCTCTCCTGGATCTATTTTCCAGGTCAGTTGTTTTTCCAATGAGATATTTCACATTGTTTTCTAATTTTTCATTCTTTTGGATTTGTTTTACAGTGTCTTGATTTCTCATAAAGTCACTAGCTTCCAATTGCTCTATTCTAATTTTTAAGGAAGTTATCTTCCTCAGTAATCTTTTGGACTTCCTTTTCCATTTGTCCAATTTTGCTTTTTAGGGCATTCTTCTCCTCATTGGCTTTTTGAACCTCTTTTGCCATTTGGGTTAGGCTATTTTTTAAGGTATTATTTTCTTCAGTATTTTTCTGGGTCTCCTTTAGCAAGCTGTTGACTTGTTTTTCATGATTTTCTTGCATCACTCTCAGTTTTTCCTCTACTCTTACTTGCTTCTCAAAATCCCTTTTGAGCTCTTCCAAGGCCTGGGACTGATTCATATTTTTCTTGGAGGCTTTGGATGTAGGAGCTTTGACTTTGTTGTTGTCTTCTGGTTGT